TAGCCGAGACCAACTGTCCATATCGTGATAATTCACGTTGCAGCGCTTCATCACTAATAAATGGAGGCACATTGGAAAGCAAAACCTTTCTCGCTGGGTTAACAAGTGGAAAGACCTTAATCAAACTATCATTGAGAACTATCCCGTTTTCAACTGCCGCATTCGCTTTTTCAATTTTGTCTAAAAATACCACCACCGCACCGTTCATTCTCGATGCCGAACGAATGCTGCTGTGACCAACACCCACCACCGCTCCTACCGCTAAAACACATTCTTCGACTGAGCACTCAACTCCAACCGGCACTTTTATTCCATGCTGCCGGGTGAGTTGCCCATAACTCGTCGTCTCCGCATTCGCCATGGCAGCAGCCAGTTTAAAAACTGGCTAATCCAACTCCCCGTTCTCACCACAATGTTCCCAGTGCTTTGTGACCATACACAGTAAAAACCAGTGAAAGAAACAACATATAAGTAAAACAGACCTTTGAAAATGAAGAAAAGACTCCACAGTCACGCTCCGATTCACACTCCGCACTCACTCACTCAACAAACGCCCACGCATGCGCACGAGAGAGAGAGAGAGAGAGAGAGAGAGAGAGAGAGAGAGTCAATCCAACTCTGATCAAATTACACCACAGCCTTAAATAAAGTTATTATGTAATATGCACTAGTCTTTTACTTATAATTCAAGACTTCACAAAAATGGTTTAATGAATACTGAAAAACATTTCGCACACACACATTAGAAATGAAAATGACAAGTACGTGAACTTGAATAGAGAATGTGGCACATGCATTTTAAACTAGATTTTTAAAACATTTCTCCTTTTAAGATAAAGGGGGGACAAACCAATATAATAAAAATACATGTCATGTGTTTGTCAAATAGAGCAGTTTGTCAATTCTTAAACCTGTCCTGGGGACCCATCATCCACTCCACATTTAGGAAGATCTCCCTGAACGGTCACACCCAACTCAAGTCTGGCAATTTCTACTAATGAGCTGATGAGTTGAATCAAGGGTGTTAGATAAATTAGACATCCAGGGATGCACCGATGCGCCAATAATCGGTATCGGCTGATACAAATAATTTTCACCATCAGCTATCGACTGATTTTTTAAAAAACAGCCGATGACCAGGGCTGATTACATCCTGGCGCTCCTCACATTCAATAATCGCAGAGTTTTGTTACTTCTGACATGAAAAAGTCTCAGCTTTAAAATACTGTCCATTTTATCATAACAATAAATGACAATTTGACACTCTCAGATGTGACGTATCGCTGTAGCACCTCAGTTCAAGCGGCAGTGCAGAGCACTTTTTATTTTCTTCCACTTTAATACAAGTTATAGCATTAAAAATCATGCATAAACATCAAATGGTACGTCGAGTGTTTCAAGCGAGGAAAGACGTCAATAAAGCAGCTTGTGAACAATGTCACTTAACATTGCATTTACCTCAGAAAAGTTATCCAATGTTCACATTTAGTTAGCTATTAAAAAAAGCACAAGAGAGGAGCTTACTTACTGTTAATTATATAATGATGCTGTATGCTTGAATAAACCTTCTATGAATATAAGTGTTTATGAAAACTACCTTATGTGCAACTGAGATACACTGATACAATAGTCACACTATTTCCGTTTTTATTTGCGTGTAATTATTATATCTAAAAATAAATAGCAGTTGAATAAATAGCTATTTATTTCAACCTCTAATATTATAGTAATGTACCAAATGAGAGGGTTTCCTGTATAATTTACATCATTAGTATTAGTAGTATTTAAGCTTATTGCCATCACCGGCTATTACATGGCAGATACATATTAAACATTTAACAACATAATATCATAAGAACAACATAATAAAAACAAACTTAGACTATAAATAAATAAATAAATAAATAAGTACATAATTCTATAAAATATTCTTTAAATGTACTTGTAAAAAAAGATCCATAAATAAGTCCTTAAAAGTTAGTCCTGATAAAAAGTGCTATCACATGTTTACAGCATTAGTTGGGAAAGGTCACTCTGGAAAAGAAATTTTGTAATGGAAAATGTGTAGGAACCCTGTCAGACTTAAATTTCCAAACCTCTCTGTAGATTTTCAGACCATATTCAAAGTGCCCCTATTATGCTTTTTCAAATATTCCCTCTCATGCAATGTGTAATGCAGCTATCTGCAAAGTTATGAAGACGAAACAGCACACGATAAATAAAGTTATTGTTTCTCAAAAAAAAAGAATCGACTCTGAACAGCCTAAACGAGTCGTCAGGAACTTGAATCCCACTTCCGTGACGGCTACACGTCACTGGGTAACACATTTGCCTATAATGCCCACCTATGTTCTACGGCGGCGAACAACTTGACCCGCCCTCAAACACTATAGCTGGTTCTTGTTGTGTATGTCGAGAATACGCTGTTTACTGCTCTGCAAAAGCAAATTCTTTGAATAACTAGTTCCAATGTTTCAATGTTTTTAAGGACCGCAATGGAAACAAGCCTTTGGGCTTTTTTGTGTTTTTATCCTTTTGAATACTTCGTGTTGATTGTTGTTGTTGTTCAATAAATTTTTCATTCATTCATTCATTCATTCATCATCGGATACAAGCTCAGATTGATATGGTAAAATCGACAACATCGTTAGTCAAGTCAAGTCAAGTCAAATATATTTATATAGCGCTTTTCACAATACAGATTGTATCAAAGCTGCTTCACAGTATCAATCAAAACAAATGAACAGTGTTTGTTTATTACTGGAAAAGACATCCAAGTTTGGTAGAGCTGATCAGTGGAATGATGGGTCATTTAATTTAAATATATCCCCAACTGAGCAAGCCAAAGGCAACAATGGCAAGGAACCGAAAAACTCCATCAAGTGACCCGATGGTGTCCTAAAACTCCATCAGATGACCCAATGGAGAAAAAAAAACCTTGGGAGAACCCAGGCTCAGTCGGGGCCAGTTCTCCTCTGGCGTTTATGAAGTAGAGGCCGAATTTACAGTAACTGTAAGATTAAAATTTTTATATGAATGCCTGGCTAAATAGATGCGTCTTTAGTCTAGTTTTAAACTGGGAGAACGAGTCTGAGCAACGAACAATATCAGGAAGGCTATTCCAGAGCTTCGGAGCTAAATGTGAAAATGCTCTCCCTCCTTTGGTGGATCTGGATATCCTAGGAATGACCAGAAGCCTCGAATTTAGTGATCTTAAAGAGCGCGATGGATTATAGGGCGATAGAAGATCCGTTAAATAGACTGGAGCTAAACCATTTAAACCGTCAATACGGAATTAATATAAAATACAAGGTTGACTTATAAAGTCAACCTTGTAATTAATACGGAACTTTATAGGTAACCAATGAAGTGATGATAGAATCGGTGTTATATGATCATATTTTCTTGATCTAGTAAAAACTCTTAGCGGCTGCATTTTGGACTAACTGTAGCTTGTTTATTGAAGATGCAGGACAACCAGCTAATAAAGCATTACAGTAATCTAGTCTCGAGGTCATGAATGCATGAACTAACTTTTCTGTTACTGTCTTTACAAGGTGTACAATCGCTATAGGGTCTAATATGGGCGTTCAGCTTCCGACAAGCACTGTAAGTGGTAGACCAATCACAGCAGACTGGTCCGTCTGGCCAATCAGAGCAGAGTAGGCTCGCGACAAGGAGAAATTTAAAGAGACTGAATCATGGGACCTGCGTCTGAGAATCATTGAAAAATGTGGTGAATGAAGGAAATGTGCAATGTATTTATGAGTTGTAACTATGAGAAAATGAAAGTGTTTTTTTGTAGGAGACCTCCAAAGCAAAAATAGTATTTTCAGCCCCCCCCCCCAAATGGTTTTAATCCAGTTATTTATATCTTTTGCTGTAGTGTCAGTAGACATAGGTTATAGTATATAAAACTAGAAATTTTAATGCTTAAAAGCATGCAAAAAAAAATTCGTGTCCATGTGAATAGTTTCTCGAGGGCATGACATTCTTTTTCGTGTGCATGCAATGCAAAAGTCTGTATATACAGTACTGTGCAAAAGTCTTAGGCACGCAAGTATTTTCACCCCAAAAAGTGGTTAAGCCAGTTATTTATATATTTTGCCAGTAGGAAATATCAGCTTACATTTCCTAACATTGATTTTGCCATTAATTGAGTGAGCTTTTTTTATTTTTGCAAAGGTCCTTTTAGAGGCTCTGTAATACGGTGCTAAGAATATCATGAGAAGAAACTCAAAACGCTTATAACCTGCCACAATCATTCAGTTGTGTTTGACAGTCACTAAAGAATCACTAAACAGCTGCCTTGAAAACACACTTCTTGTATGATACATTTGTTTTCATTAAATCCTTTTAAATTCATTAGATTTTCTATTATAGAAAACTAAATAGGGGCAATAGTCTGGAAATGCAAATATTTTTCCATACTCTGCTTTCTTTTTTCCATACTTTTCCAAACTTCGTAGGAACCCTGCTCTGAATAACTGGCTATGGTTATCGGCAGAGAAATGTAGTATTGGTGCACCTCTAATCGTTTTAATAGTACAATGACCTCTTCAGATTTTTTCAATTAATGACTGCCTAATTTACATTAATTTACTTCATTCAGACAATTTTTACCATCAACCGCAGACAGAGGGAGTTCACAGGCATTGAAGGATGAAGTTTAGCACAGATATATTTTCACTCGCCTTCATTTGAACACGGTCTCGAGCGTTTGATAGTTTCACTCTTTTTACATCAATGGATGTGCAATGTATTCTGAAGCAATGTAAACTCTAGTGTGTAGTCACTTGAATCACCGTGCTCAAAATAACTGAGTTTGTAAATATTCAGCCTTTGAGAATAAGCAGATGCCTCTGCCGGTTCCTTCGGTAGTGGGCGGAACTAATGCGCAAATACTATTCTCAAAAGCCGACATAAAATAAACAAAACATTGGGCCTTGAATGGTGTAATGAAGCACATTTCAACAGTACGCAGTGAGTAAGTGATTCACCTGTGTTGTTTAGCAGTATGTTGCTGGGGTTCAGGTCTCGACAGATGACTCCCTCCTGATGCAGCGCATCCAGAGCCACAACCATGTCAGCAGCCCAGCTCCTCACCATCGCCTCTGGGATACGCGTGTCTAATGAAACAGCAGCCAACCTATCCAGCTCTTGAAACAACTTCGACACTTTCTCAACCTCCTGCTCTCCTGAAGTGCCCTCTGACCCCAACCCCACGTCTTCATGTTCGGGAACCGCTGCGTCCAGCATAACCGAGAGCTTGGGGGAAGACAGAGTCAATAAGTCTGCTGTTTTTGATGGTTTGTGTGGAAGTGGAAGTGTAGCCACATCAACAGACGGGTCCAACTCTGCGTTCTCTCCTCTCTGTAGAACATCTGGCCTGCCAAATGTGGGAGAGGTTTTGTCTACAACAGGGAAAGCGATGCCTTTAGGGACAAGCACTTCCTCTAACACATCTCCTGTGCCTCCTTCGAGTGCCGGCAGATTGACCAAAAGATCAGGCGGTTGTCCCTCAACAGCACAGCTGACATTCGCATCCTCCGATACAGCCTCTTTAAAGGAAATTACCGGCACCAACTCATTTGAGCATTGATCACCGTCAGACCTCCAGAGATCCGACTCTTCCTGTGGCTTCCCCAGTGGCTCCTCTATACCAGCATCTGAGGGTAAAGACAGTGGCTTGCAGACGTCCTTACCCTCACTGTAGAAGAGCTCCTTGGGCGGCGATGGGCTCAGATGGTCAGATGTGCATTGATCCATAAAGCCAGCCAGTTGATCCTCCTCAGTGAAGAAGCACAGCTCCTGCATTGAAACCGGAGAGCACAGACTATCGGTGTTTAGCGTTGAACATGCATGTTTCTGTGTGCAGGGGTCTTCCTCTGGCTCCAGCTTCTCCTGCTCGTACTCGTTGCACAGTGTCAGGTAGCTGTTGGTGCACTCCTCCTCAGAGGTGGCTCCCGAGTCTGGCGGCCGGGCTCCTAAAGGACGCTCTCCAAAGCTTAGGACCCGGGAATCCACACTGCTGGAACCGGTGGGCACAGGGTTCAGGGCTGAATGTATAGCTATAGAGTGAGCTTTCTGGATGAAAGGTATGTTGAAGCTTTCGTCGGGACTGCTGCCATGCAGATACTTGCAGATATGAGTCCACAATTTACCACCTGATGAGACAAAGAGGAAGTGCTAGTCAACATCCTGTTTACACACTTAGGCATTTTGTAAAAAGTAAAAACGCAGTGAAAACAACACACACCCTCAGCATACTCCAGTAAAAGAAAGATGGAATCCTCTGAGACGATGTATTTCTCCAGTTGTACCATGTTAGGCAGGGAACGAGGCACAACGGTCTTCTTAACACGCCCACAAGCACTGCTTTTCCTTAAACCCTGAACACACACACACACACAAATCATGTCAGTACAAATCAGGGGTCTCAATCTACAAGACTGCAGTCCAAAAAGAGTTTTAGAAAAACCCTGTTAAAAATGTTAAAATGTAATAATTACCAGAGCTGTCTACAATGGAAGCATCTGTTGAGTTCAGTTGAGATCTATTTTTAATCTGCTAATCCAGCCACTTTATTTTGGCCGTCAAACTGAAAATGTTGCAAATATAATGTGTAAACTGATTGTTATATCTAGATCGTCAAGTCCTCGTATATTCCTATTACATCTGACCATTACATCAAAGAAAGCTTGAGATATGTCTAATGTCTAAACGGGACTGTGAGCTGCTGCATAGCGCCGAATTGCTGATTCTGTGTACCGGTGAGCAATGGCCCACTTTAAGCACTGCATACAGATCAAAAATAAATTTTCCTCAATAGTTAAGGTTATTGACGTTTTAGTCATTTCAGGTCGAGTCCATTAAAATTACGAGCCACTAACTCGAGTGCCCATCTCTGGATGTGAGTATGGTTACATACTCCACACAACTCTCCAACAAAGACTAGAATAAGTCCGTAATATGAACACTTTTTAAAATCGATCTAATTTAGAGGGTAGAAATTTGTTTATTGTACTTCTACAGAATAAAGGGGAGATACAATTTTAATTATGACTGTACTTTATTACACATTTTTAAAGTAACTCTCGTCCATTTACCTATTACAATATTGTCACAATGGGTATCTATAAAGGGAAGATAGGTTGACAGAGCCTTTTCCCTATGTGCCAGTAATAATACTTGAAATTTGGAAGACTCACTTCTCCATCAGTCTTCATAAGCTGTAGGGTTTCGTACTTAATTCTTGGCCTCTACCCTGACCAAAATACATTTCTCTAATGTACGAATGTACTACAGGCAACATCTGTGGGCCCTTGAAGCCACTTAAATTCACTTAATATTCTGTTTATGCTATCACCATAATACCTCCCTTTTATAAATCCAATTTGATCTCGATTTATAATATTGGTAATCACCTCGTTTAATAGTTGAAATAAGATGGTTATTTATATACGAAGATCCCTGTATACACGACATATGGGTCCATGCCTTCCTTGTGCATTACAGTTTTCAAAAAGATACGATTTTCATTAAAATTCAAAATGGCAAAGAAAGGCATTATTACCAACCAATTAATCAAAAGTTATGTCTTTTCGTATATAGTTTAATCACTAGGTGCGGTCACCAAACCTCTCAGGTCCCTATTATTTCTTTCAAATCCATCCATTTGGCCCCCTTTTTATCAAAATTTAATTATTTATCAATTTGTAATACTTCAGTCCTCGATATGGTTTAGATACAGCTTTTCTGGTTTTTACTCTTACTGTAAATAGTTAAATCAAATTCAAACAGTCAATTTAAACAGAAGAGAAGCATTACAGCTTTTAGGGAGTATTATAACTCACTGTAAGTAATTCCAGTAAAATCGTTAGGTGTTATTAACTCTAAATGGACCACTTACTTTCAAAATAAAAGTTTCTTGCGTTCTCTTATCCATCACCAACAGCACCTGCACATAAAACACATATGAATAAAGGCCATGTTTAAACAAAAACACTTTTGAAACAGTGTTATATACTGTAACGTCACCCACATCTTTTTGTCAAGGGAGTTATATTTACAGTAAATCTGGAGTCACTGTAGCCTATAGATAGAAAAGTAAAAACAAACTAATTTAACAAATGAATCCTTTAAACCTTTTTAAAGAGTTTAAAAGAGAGATCGTTGTCATGAAAACATTAACAACAAAGTTAATGTTTAATGTTAATGTTCGTTTCTCTTTGGTGCTTTTTTTTTTTTTTTTTGCAATGGCAACACTGTTTGATACATCTAAAATCCTGTGCTCACTGTGCATAGTTTTTATAGAGACAACACATTGCTTGCAGCTCAGTATTTTCCCACCAAGATTTTGAGGGCTTTTGGAAAAAACATGTTTAATTTATAATGTCACAGAGGTGAGAACGGTGCGAGGAAAGAAAGCTCTCAGATTTCATCAAAAATATCTTAATTTGTGTTCCGAAGATGAACGAAGGTCTTATGGGTTTGGAACGACATGAGGGTGAGTAAATGATGACAATTTTCATTTTTCGCAAACAGTCATTTATGTCTTAAGTGAACATAAACATTTGACAAAGAAAATGCATAACAGTATATTGGATCCGTGCAGCTCTTAAAGCAGACAGAAAAATGGAGCGAAACTGGAAGAAAACTAGAGGTATTTCGCATTTCATGGAAGGAGAGCTCGATTGCATAGAGAGGCCTTAAAAGCTGCTAGATCTGCTTATTTTTCCAACCCCATTAGAAGAAAATAAACACAACCCTAGGTATTTATTTGGAACAGTGGCTAAACTAACGAAAAATAAAGCTTCAAGCCCAGAAGTTTCCAACCAGCACAACAGTAATGACTTTATGACCTTCTTCACTTATAATTTTCTCCCTGATATCTTAGAACTATGCAACAGTCTACTATAACATCACATCAGGGAGTGCATTGTAGTCTCCCCAAGGAAAAATTCGATTCATTCATTGCTATAGAAGAGGAAGAATTTTCTAAACTCGTTAAATCATCTAAATCGACAACATGTATGTTAGACCCTATACCGACTAAGATATTGAAAGAGATGCTTCCAGATGTCATAGATCCTCTTCTTAACATCATTAATTCATCTTTGTCATTAGGATACGTACCAAAAACTTTTAAGCTGGCTATGATTAAACCGCTTGTTAAAAAAACGCAACTTGATCGTTTTATAGGCCGATCTCGAATCTACCTTTTCTGTCAAAGATACTAGAAAAGGCAGTATCTTCACAACTATGTTCATTTTTTAGAAAGAAATGATATCTGCGAGGATTTCCAGTCAGGATTTAGACCGTACCATAGTACTGAGACAGCTCTCAGAGTTACAAATGATTTGCTCTTATCATCCGATCGTGGTTTTATCTCGCTATTGGTGTTACTCGATCTTGTTTTAAATAGTCTCGAAAAATTATGTTGGCATTAGTGGAATTGCATTATTATGGTTTAAATCATACTTATCTGACCGTTATCAGTTTGTAGCAGTAAATGAAGAGATGTCTTATCGATCACAAGTTCCGTATGGCGTACCACAAGGCTCAGTACTAGGACCGTTGCTGTTCACTCTGTACATGCTACCCTTGGGATATATCATTAGGAAGCATGGCATTAGTTTTCACTGTTATACTGATGATACTCAGCTCTATATTTCTTCACGCCCTGACGAAACTTACCAATTCACAAAATTAACGGAATGCATAGCTTATATAAAAAACTGGATGATTAGTAATTTCCTACTACTTAACTCTGAATTAATTATTGGACAAAAAACTTCCTCATGTAATAACCTAGAATACTGTCTATCACTTGATGGCTGCTTTGTCAAGTCTCCGTCGTCGGTTCGGAACCTGTGTGTGCTCTTTGATAGCAATCTTTCATTTGAAAGTCACGTTTCTAGTATCTGTAAAACCGCATTTTTCCATCTTAAAAAAATATCTAAATCACGTCATATGCTCTCATTGACGAATGCGGAACAGTTAGTACATGCGTTCATGACATCAAGGCTAGATTATTGTAATGCTCTACTGGGGGGTTGCCCTGCAAGCTTAATAAACAAACTACAGCTGGTCCAAAACGCAGCAGCTCGAGTTCTTACCAGAACCAGGAAGTATGATCATATTAGCCCAGTTCTGTGAACACTGCATTGGCTCCCTATTAAACATTGTATAAATGTTAAAATATTGCTAATTACTTACAAAGCACTAAATGGTTTAGCTCCCCAGTACTTGAGCGAGCTCTTAACGCATTATAGTCCTTCACGTCTATTGACGATCTCAAAATTCAGGCCAGTTGGTAATATCTAGAATATCAAAATCAACTGCTGGCGGGAGATCCTTTTCCTATTTAGCACCAAAACTTTGAAACAGTCTTCCTACCATTGTCCGGGAAGCAGACACACTCTGTCAGTTCAAAGCTAGACTACAAACACATCTCTTTGACCTTTCATACACATAACACACTATAGACTTCTATAATTCAATGTTAGGCTGCATAGATTAGGTCAGCCGGAACCGGGAACACTTCCCATAAATCCTGATGTACTCGTTACATCATAAGAAGAATGGCATCTACGCTAATATTAGTCTCTCTGTTTATCCCGAGGTTTACCGCAGTCCGCCAGATCCAGGCCGTATCTAGATCTGATGAAGGACCTGCGTCTGGACGCAACGACAACGCAGTCCTGAAGTGTCAATTAGTCCCTCCCTGTGAAGGCCTCCTTCCCTTCACCTCTGTACAGATAATCGTTGTTGGGATAATTCTGGTTCTCGTGGCTACGCCGAAGCTATAAAATTCTGTATTATAAATTTTACGGCCAGACAAGTAGTTTGTTGAGGGTTGTTTTTTTTTTAGGGAAGGACTACATGCCTGCGCACATATATTCACATACACATACAACGCGCATACCTATAAAATGAACTCTTAATACGCATGTGCACGCCATCAGCGTTCTCACATGTTCACGTTTTTAAAGTTTGCGTAGAGAGAACTTAAGAGTTTTGTTAAAACGGTGTCGTGTTAGCGGCCCCTAAGTTAATAACTAATGATAGTGAGAACGACGGAAATGAATCAATTAAAATTAACTTTAGCTGGAAAATAACTTTATTCTAGAGCTGTCATAAAGCCAAAACAATCTCTTTTACTTTAATTTCCTATTATCACAGTAAAGCAGCTTTGGAACAATCTACATTGTTAAAGTCTACATTGTTGACTTGACTTGACTTAGTGACAGCAGATTAATATTCCTGCTGCTGTCTCTATAATAACGTTAATCAAGTTCCTTGTGTAAATGCTCTTTAGCCTTTTGATTTTTGTTCATGGTATTCAGCTGCAATTAAATGTTTTACAATAAGACTTAGAAAATGTGAATTAAATTATATTTTTTTACCTCATTGGTATTGAAATTAGGAATCGATAAAAATCTGAATCGAAAAGCAGAATCTGAATCGTCAAAATTCACAAGATACCAAACACAACAGGCAATTGTATTAAAGTTTGTTTGTTTCTGATTCAACTTCGCCGTGTTAATTGTGACATATACCATTTACTTCTACTGAGATGATTTTGGTCATAACTGCCAATCTTAGAAAAGAGCTTGTGAAGATTGTGATGTGTACCTTATCAATAACGCCCAGCACTCTGTAATGCTTCAGCTCATCAAAGTGAGTCTGCTCAGACCACGAGCCGCCACAGCACTGCGAGCCCAGCGCCTGAAGAGACACCAAACAAAGAGACACATGATGGACATGGAAAGGTTGTAATTCATAAAAAATGTGCACAGAATAATCCAATATGTGAGTGCACAATGTTTTAAATGTTCCTGTGAATGTTATAAAACATTCATATGCAATGTGCATGTAAATATTGTTCACTCACTTTTTTTAACATTTCACAAATTTAAGCCTGTCAGGTTTCAAAATATATTGTTCAAAATGAAGTTTTTCCTGTTTCTGTTCTGTTCCCATTTACTTTCAAAAATGTTCAAATAAATAAAAAAAATTCTCTAGTTTATGCCTTCATTAAAGGGATAGTTCACTCAAGAATTAAAATTAGCCCATGATTTACTCACCCTCAAGCCATCCTAGGTGTATATGACTTTCTTCTTTCAGACGAATACAATCGGGGTTATATAAAAAATGCCCTGGCTCTTCCAAGCTTTATAATGGCAGTGAATGGCCGTTTCTGAAGTCCATAAATATGCATCCGTCCATGATAAAAGTGCTCCACACGGCTCCGGGGGCTTGATAAAGGCCTTCTGAAGAGAAGCCATGCTTACGTGTAAGAAAAATATCCATATTTAAAACTTTATCGACTAAAATAACTAGCTTCCATCAGACGGCCATTCGTATCGATTTATGATGAAAGAGTAACATTTGACCTGACGTACAACGTAATGACGAACGCGGAAGCGCAGAGGATACAGCAAAACAAAACACCATTCACGAATTAGAAGTCTAAAACGAGAACTTTAAAGAGAAATGTCAGAGGAGCTTGAGTTTGTTGCCCAGCCCTGTTTGTTTGAACCAGGAGAGGAGTCAAAGCTTACGCTACTCCTACATCATCAAGTGAGTCTTTTTGGCGCAGGCCGTCTGACGGAAGCTTGTTATTTTAGTTGATAAAGTTTTAAATATGGATATTTTTCTTACACAAACGCATGGCTTCCCTTCAGAAAGCCTTTATTAACCTCCCGGAGCCGTGTGGAGCACTTTTATGATGGACGGATGTGCTTTTTTGGGCTTTAAAATCTCATCCTCCATTCACTGCAATTATAAAGCTTGGATTAGCCAGGACATTTTTTTATATAACTCCGATTGTATTTGTATGAAAGTCGTATACACCTAGGAAGGCTTGAGGGCAAGTAAATCATGGGCTAATTTTCATTTTTGGGTGAACTATTTAATCCTGATTTGTTCCTCACTTTATAGAGGATCAAATATGCATGTGCATTGTATTAACGAGGTCTCAGGTGAAAGGTCAGACACACACTGACCCTGCTTTGAGTGGAGCTCTGGCCCATGCTGTCCTTGAGCTGTGCAGAAATGAGCTCGGCACGCATCAGATATTCTGCCGTCTTTCTCTTCACAGCCTCCCTTCTGCTGGGACTCACCTCTCCTGAAATAAGCAATTAATACACACGCAATAAACAGGGGTGTGAATCTTCAGGCACCTCACAATCCGAATATCTGAATATTCAGTGAGGGATTTTTTTCTCTTTCTCAGCATTAATGCTGTTGCTGTTTGATTATTGATTATGTTATATTGACCACACGCGTTCTTCAAAGTGAACACACACAAAGCACACGTGAGCATTTGAAATTCCAACAAGTGAAAAAGGCATTAACCATGAAACCTTATGAATGTTTATATACTAGTTTGATAGTTTTGTGTGTGTTTGTTTGTTATTGGCAGCAAGCATAAAACAGTAGCCTGGTTAAAACCAGACCATTCTCAGTTGTAACTGAGTTACGGTCTGGCAAAGCGTCATAGACAAATCATTTCCAGAGGGGCGTCACCAACGGACGTCGAGGATAGACCTAAAACCAATCAGAGCGATGAAGGAGATGACGTATGCAGAGCGGCGGAGAAACATCTCCGAGTGTTGTTCTTTGCTCGGTTTTTAACAAAAAGGAAACGTTCAAATCGCTTAAAACAGACGCGATAGCTGATTGGAACGAGTGATGTTCGACGGCGGCATCCATCTTTGTAATGTAGGCTACAAAATCTGCTTCAAAATCCCAGCGCTGTCGTCATCGTGTAAAGCCCGCCCTAACGTTTCTGATTGGTGCCTCGATTTCGACGGATTGGAAATGGGCTTGAATGAGCTCTTTGCCAGACTAACTTTCAGAGCAAATCTAAATTTGCTGGAAGTTGTCTGGGTTTTCCCAGGCTAATAAAACAGGACACTTTCAATTCAATTCAGCAATATTATTGATCTGACTGTACTGACGCAGTTGTATGAGAACTGAGCTGGATGACTATTTTTTTGTAGAACTGCTTTATAGATGAAATAAACTAATTTAATAATTGACAATCTTTACAATGGGACTGAATCATCACTGAACTGACTTTGGCTGAACAACAGCCGAAATGCATATTTTCCTGTTATCACTGCAAAGCTGTTTTGAAACAATCTGTATTGTATAAAGCACTATAAAGGTGACTTGAATTGACTCTAGTGCAAACAAATGTCATGACGAAAAAAATTATTTAGCTCACAATTGATTCTGAAAGCTTTGGATGCATCGGCATTTTTTCCTCCTACCTCTAGTAAACATGTTTGTTTGTTGGTCCGCACCAAAAGTTCATTTGCTTGGGGTGAAAGCTGTTTTTCAAACATGGAAGTGCTAGTGTTGCGGAGCGGGCGTGTTACGGATATGTGGTGTAAATTTTTTAGCAATCAAAAAGCATGTCTAATTAATTGAAATAGTGTATTATGAATCATTAAACTTATACAACATTTAAAAAAAAAAAATGAAACAAATTTTACACTAATTCTGTGTTGTGTTTTTTCTGGTAATAAAATGAAGACATAAAACACAAATTTTATCATTTATCATCAATTTTAATCATATGAAATTAAATAAACTTTTTGTCAAACAACGTGCTGCACAATGAGCTTTACTGTTAAAATTAAAACATGTATTATTCCTTAAATTCAGTTTTGATGATAATTTATTTGGATTAGTGTTAGTATTATTACATTGGGACATATCTAAATTATACTGTACAACGGTAATGTACGGTATTTCTGTCAAGTTAAACCGCACTTTAATTTTGACGGGTTGCCGTGAAGACCTTTTGAGTTTGTGTGTTTATGTCATAATGATAGTTTTTCTCAAATAAAGCGGTTAAATGATCACGAAGGGACTTTCGGAGTGGATCTAGAGCCTGGAGAGGAAGTTTATGCATTTTTGTCTTCATAGGCAAAAAAACAGCGCAAGCGTCACACGTGCTTCAGTGTGTGTGTGTGTGTGTGTGTGTGTGTGTGTGTGTGTGTGTGTGTGTGTGTGTGTGTGTGTGTGTGTGTGGTAAATGAAACTGCGCGTCGGCTGCACCATTCATTCACACAGAACAAGCAGGATTCGTATTTAAATTGTCTTTGTGGTTTAATATCCACACACACTTGTCTACATCGCGATTTGATTTCAAGTGTATACTGAACTGCTTTCTATTTATTCCTCAAAAGATTGACAAATTCCATGAAATTCCGCGTTATACAGTAAATTAATTTTTTATGACTGGATTTCGTCAGCAATTTAGGGGGGGGGCGGGGGGTCGTTTTGGGGGGGCGGGCCGCCCCCCCAAAACAATGGTAGGGGAAACACTGTCTCCCATGTGTATCTGTGTAAGCGATCGGTAAAGACAACATGTTTTTGAAGCGTTGATCATTGTAGCCATTCACTGGCATATATGTATGTTGAGCGCGAAAACACAATGGCCAATCAGACACATGTTGAGCGTGTGAACACAATGGCCAATCAGAAGCATACATGTTGAGAGCGCCAACACAATGGCCAATCAAAAGCATAAATGTTGAGTGTGTGAACACAATGGCCAATAAGAAGAATATATGTTGAGCGTGTGAACACAATGGCCAATCAGAGGCATATGTTGAGCGCGTCAACAATGGCCAATCAGAGACATATGTTGAACGCGTCAACAATGGCCAATAAGAAGAATATGTTGAGCGTGTGAACACAATGGCCAATCAGAGGCATATGTTGAACGCGTCAACAATGGCCAATAAGAAGAATATGTTGAGCGCGTCAACAATGGCCAATCAGAGGCATATGTTGAGCGCGTCAACAATGGCCAATCAGAGGCATATGTTGAGCGTGTCAACAATGGCCAATCAGAGGCATATGTTGAGCGTGTCAACAATGGCCAATCAGAGACATATGTTGAGCGTGTGAACACAATGGCCAATCAGAGGCATATGTTGAACGCGTCAACAATGGCCAATAAGAAGAATATGTTGAGCGCGTCAACAATGGCCAATCAGAGGCATATGTTGAGCGCGTCAACAATGGCCAATCAGAGGCATATGTTGAGCGTGTCAACAATGGCCAATCAGAGACATATGTTGAGCGTGTGAACACAATGGCCAATCAGAGACATAGATCTTAAGTGCGTCAACACAAAGCAAGCACGTGCGACCGATATGAGACAATTGCAGCTGTGCATGTGTAAATACATGCATTTAATGACATACCTTGTACACCCTGCAGCAGAAGATCCACACCTCTACGATAGTAGGAAAACGCCACTGCAAATTCCTGCTCCACTTCTTTCTGGACAGCTAGAGCGATCAGCCCACTGGCCTTTTCCAGGTAGTCCTCCTTCTCTGTGGAGCTCCTGAGACTGGAGGCAAAGCTCAAAGTCCCACTGGTGTGGCTGGACTCTACTCCCACCCGGCTCGGGAACGTCACTGGCTGTGGGATTGGAGAGGAGTTGCTTTGTGTTGCTTTGTGCTTGATGCTGCCTGATGCCATTCCATCGTCCACAGCGGCCAGAAAGTCTCCATCAACCTCCAGAGAATTCAGCTCACTGTGACCGCTGCCACCTGCAATTAAACACACAAATTCAGTATGAACTACATGACTGGATATGGTAAAAAAAAAAATGTTGCAAGCAGCAACAAAAGGCCCAAGCATTAAGGTGCCACCACTACTAATAGCTTTAAGAAAACAATGCACAGTAGGCCCATCCATGTGATCAGCCTCCTTTACCAAATTTACAACATCAATTTGATATAAATCTGACAATGCACAATGAGACTCTTCTTGTGTCCCTTTTGTTGTCATTAATTTGGCTTGCCGAAAACAATAACTGTACTGGTGGTGAGTCTGGTGACTAAAACTAAAACTGTTTAGTCAAAAGGGGGCGCTACAGAGCCCAACTGCACGTCCTTGTTTTAGCTTTTGCTAACAGCCAACAACTCTGATATGTTTGGATGACAAATTTCATGAAATTTTAAAAATGCTAAGAACTTTAAAACAAGAGCATGCAAAGAAAAGCATTTTGAACTTTGATGAGTTACCATGGCAACACTATTTAAGAGATCACAAAGCCCTTTGCAATTTTACATGAGCCATGTCTTGAAATTATTCTAACAGCATTTGAAGCAATTTGGGTAATTTGAAGAGAATCTTTCAAAGCCCGTTGTGTGTGACATGCTTCCTGCTGCCAGTTGTTGGCACTATGACCGCGACTCACAACCGCGTGTCGTCACATCCGGCTCTGATTAGAAGCGTAAATTAATTTCTACCTGCATTATCGTCAATGGACAGATGCCAGTTTTGAGAAGAAAATTAAACTAATGTAGTTGAACTTAACAATAAACATCAATATCGAAAACTGTTTATTTAGACTTACAAGATACCCTACGACGCGATTGTCATGAGATTCAAATCCAACATATGTATCGAACCATAATTTCGGTGTGCCGTTATACCACTAATGTCTGCTGACTGTAAGAATAAGAAGTGTTACAGTTGGTCAGAATCCACTCAATATCACTCAAGACTGTAGTTTAGTCATTGTTCATTGAGTTCAGCACGTTTGCGAATCTCTGCATAATAACCAACAGGAGTACAGAACTCAGTCCAACAGCTTCAGTGATCTTTGCTTACTTTCTGTATATAATCCATTTACAATTAAATAATAGTTTTATTTTTCATGTTGCCAATTTCTTTGTTTTCAAACGTTAAATCATTTTTTCAGCTTTTGATGGAAAACCGCAGGGAGACCTGATCACTTCCCTTTGTTGACAACAACAGATTTTTCAAACGATTCTCATGAAAAATGTTGCGTTCACAAATGCAAATTATAAGTGACTCAAACACAGCACTTGCAGAGTAGCATTTAATGTGAATCGAAACTGAAAACACAGACTGTTACAGTACTCTGAAACAAGATCAAGATATTCATATAATTACATCACAACCGTTGCGATTTGATGATCGCACTAAGCCATCTCACCACCATGCAATATCAAAATCTTAAAGTACTGTTTCAATGGCAATTTTTCCTCGCATTTAGATGTAAACTGATTGATGATAGCAAAGACAATAGCAAAAGATACAACAAATAAATCTGATGTGACAAACTTAGACTAATAGGCTACATTACTTATATTTTAAGCATTAATAATTAGCTAATTCAATTTCTTTATTTATTCTTTTTTTCACATAGTTAAATAAAATAGTTTTTACAGAGAACCATGACATGTTTACTGGCATTGGCACAGACTACTGAAGTTTTGGCTTATTATTTACACATGCAGGATCATCTCACTTACACTCATGTTTAGATGGGTTGGTGACTAGAAAATCATCCACAAAACTGATATGTTTGGGAACTACAGAAAAACAACATCGGAAAAAAAAGAAGAAAAAAAAGAAAAATCAGAGAAAAGCATCAATTCAAATCAATAAATGAAACCATTTTCTGAGACAGTGTAGAGTCATGAAATAGCAAGATAACAAACATATCCAGATACTAAACTGAACAACTAACTGAACGGATACATGGACTGCATTCATGCAATCATCAGTGTTTGAAATTAACACCCGCCAAATGCAAACATTTGCATTTCAGCCATTTTCCATTTCAACCTTTTCACTGGAGTGAGCTTTTTGTTTGAATGGATGTCAATAAAGGAGAGATTTTTTTTTACATTTTATTTGAATGGTATCCGCAAACGATGCTTGACTGTCGTAAAACTGAAAGCCATTCAATGATTCAGAATCAGATTTGCCAATAAATATATGCAGTATTTTTGTTAATCTGGTTTATTTCCGATATTTTTTATTTTGGCTAGTAGAAGTTTTGAACGGCAGGAGACTTCAGTGGTGTAGTCTAGTTTTTTGTAGAGAGTATACTCTGATTTAACCCAACCCCCCACCCCCAATTCTCACCCGTCCCAGAGCAACACCCCATAAGCACCTCCACACTCACTAATGTATACAGTGTGCATCTACATGTATTGGGAGCATTATGAAAGACCACATGTTATCAATATGTCAATTTATTACATTTACAGCTGAGGAGACTGGACTGATTTCTACTGTTTAGTGTTAATCGCCATCTAACTCCGCCAGTTAAGAGCTACATTTAGCCTCAGATGTTATATGAATATTATGGTCCCATGAGCACAAGTTTTATCAGCTGGACATTTTCTAAACATTTTTTAAAACATTGTAAGGATAAATACAAATGTACTTTAAAAATAGTGGTAATCAAATCCATTTATAAAGCTCATTTAAAACTTAAATAAAAGATTTATAATAATTTAATCTTAATGTAATCAAATAAAAATTCTAATTCCTTTTTTGCAAGTTAACTGTTTAAATTTTTAAATTTTAAGTTAATAGATTTTATTATTATTAATATTTTTTTTTTTAAAAGAACATTTTAATGTGCAATTTCTTTCATAATTTCTTCAAGTTAGACCGAGTTTTTATGACTGAGTTGTAATGAAGATATTTGAGTTTTTGTGTGTTTTAATAAACTGTTATTATTATTATTATTATTATTAGGCCTACTTAAAGTATACTTTAATGTGCTATAGTAATATATTTCTGTTACAATTTCTTCAAGTTATAACTAACTTTTATTTTGACGGGTGGTTGTAAACACCTTGGAGTTTCTGTGTGCATGTGATATGACTAACGATAGTTTTATCCACAGTCGTTACAGAGCAGGTTTAATCAAATGCAAAGCTCGTGATGTGACTCTCAGCTCTACGATGAAGTTCACACGTGTTCGTCTCCTCATACAGTGATGAAACGCTGAAAACACCACAAGCGTGCTTCGGTGTGTGTGTGTAATAGACGAAACTGCACCGCTCATTCACAGACGCGCAGAACATGCAGACTTCTGATTTTTTATATAGCAGTCTTTTTAGCTTTAATATTCACAGACACTAAAATTGATTCATTGTAAAGCCCTACTTTTGATTTATTCATTCAAAAATGGCCAAATTTCGTGACGTTCTGCTGTATAGCTACAGTATAAGTTTCATTTGTGACTAGATTCCGTGATTTGGTTGTTACGTATCCTCACGCTTTTTTAAGAGGGTATACGGAAATACTTGACCTTTCCTAGTGGGTACACGGCGTATACCAGCGTATCACGTAGACTACACCACTGGGTAACTTAATTTTGGCTGGTTAGTGAAAAAGGTCATTTCAAACACAGAATTTTAAAAACTGTGGCTTCTCACATAACAGTTTTTTGCAGGTGTTTTATACTATGTTGAAATGCATTTAGGGTAGGTTTTTCTTTTTATACTGTTTATTCATGCTAACTCTATTGGGTGTGGGTAATATTTTATGTGTGTCTAATTTAAAGAAGCAAGTTTGATGAACAACTTACCTTCAGAGCTGCTATCTAAGAGACTGTCAGCTAGGAAATCAGAGAAGGGCTCGGCTGGGCCGATGAGCTCAGAGCTGTCTTGCACCTCACCACCCTAAAACACACAACAATTGAGATCACCATGTTTTATTGCTGCAAAAAGGGGAGGAAATGATAAAGAAAAGCATGAAAGGAAACAATGGTTACTCTATACATGTCTAGACATACTCTATATGTCTATACAGGTCTTCCTTCACACTGTTCTCACTCTTGGTTTGATTAGCTGGTTGATTACCCGGGATTACCTGGATACCCGAGTTTGATTCAACCAAAAAAAAAAAAACCCTACACAACAAGTCAAAAGTTTGGATAAATCTACTAGTTTTTCAACATTTTACAATAATTTGTATTCATTACAACTATAAAATAATACAAATGGAAGTATAGGAAATGTATAGACTAAAAATATCAAACAAAAACTATAGTTCTGTCAGGATCACTATCAGCAATGAGGATTGACAGTTAGCATACAGTTTGGATTGGCGGTTATGGTTCTGTTCTGGGCAAGAACTCCAGCGATAAAACCCCCTCAGAGTAAACGGATCAGAACCAACATAAAGGTATTGCAGATATCATCAATGTTTAATAATTTAATGTACAATATAATACATTTAAAAAAAAGAGTGATTTGAAAAGGAATATCAGAAGGCCAAGTCATGACTGGATGAGAGGAGGAGCTGGGGATGAAGGAGGGTGAAATTTGTCATTAATTTACTTTTTGGAAATAAATTCATGACAAATTTCTTTGAAACAAAAAAGCATGTCGAATTGAAGTACTTAAAAAAAAAAGCACTATTTAAAAAATTTGCATTGCAATAAAAGTGCTTGCATTTTAATGCATTGCATTTTCAGGGCTTGCATTTGGAGGGGGATTTCACTGTGATTGGTTGTATTTTTAAGCTGTGAATATTTCAACTTAAAATATTAAAAATTAAAAACTCCACTTTTACCATCCAGACTTCACTTCCAAAATATTCATGCTGTGGTTCTTTTTTTAACTCTTATAGACGGTACATTTGATTTTCACCAATCTCCGTTCTAGTTCATCTTAAAGGTGTTGGATGAGGTTGAGGTCAGGGCTTTCAAGTTCAATCAGCCAGTCAAGTTCTTTCACTCCAAACTCATCCAAACATGTCTTTATGGATCTTGCTTTATGTTCATGCTGGAATAGAAAAGGCCCATTCCACAAAGTCCCACTTCTCACAATGTCTGAAGTATTAAGATGCCCCCTCACTGGCACTAAGGGGCCAAGCCCAACCCCTAAAAACAACCCCACACCATAATCCCCCCTCCACCAAACTTCACAGTTGGCACAGTCCAGTCAGACAGGTAACGTTCTCCTGCCAAACCCACACTCGCCCATCAGACTGCCAAACAGAGAAGGATGATTCGTCACTCCACAGAACATGTTTCCACTGCTCCAGAGTCCAGTGGTGACGTGCTTTACACTACTCTATCCGACACATGGCATCGCACTTAGTGATGTGAGGCTTGGCCATGGAAACGCATGCCATGATGCTCCCATTGCACTGTTTTTTTTCTTTCCTGATATTAATGCCAATGGAAGTTCGGTTCTCTTCAGCTGTGGAATCAGCAGATTGCTGACTTTTACGCACCATGTGCTTCAGCACTCAGTGAACCGCTCCGTGACTTTACATGGTCTTCCGCCTGTTCCTAAACGCTTCCACTTTCCGATAATACCACTTACAGTTATCCGTGGAATATCTAGCAGAGATGAAATTTCACAAACTGACTTATTGAAAAGGTTGCATCCTATCAAAGTACCACGGCGAATTCACTGCGCTCTTCAGAACGACCTTTTTTCCCCCCCACAGGGCCCAGATTCAGATTGGTTTACTTATTGCCATGTCAGCATCCAAGGCTATTTTCATGGCAAAAATACAAATATCATTTAAATACAATAAAAAAACAAAAACAGCAAGTCATATTATACAAGATTTTTTAAAGCTGCAGTCCACATTTTTTCCTCTTTGTCGCCATCTCTGTTCGAAATTTGCAATTGCAGTCATTCGCGGAATTATCAACTTTACGTGAGTTGTAGTTCGACACCACACAGCGCGGATGAACACATTGAGGAGAGTGTGCAGCTGTCAATCACCGCGCCGGTGTCAATACTGGCATTCAGAATCACAGATTATTCTTTTTGGAAGTATGACCAACATAAGAATTTAATGTAATAATATATAATTTAATAATTTAAAACATAAAAATGTCATCTGAACAAGCAAGTAACATCCACTTTTGTTCTGGTTCTGAGATTGCAGTAAATCGCGCCGATTAAATCTAACAATCGCTTATCATATCACGCAAAACCGTGCAAATTATACTTTGTTCTTGACTTGTTAATGTTAACAACATCAGCATTGCGTGACTACATGTAATGTCCTTCCGATATGTATCCTTATTTTCGCACGGGTCCGGTTGCAGTCTCTTTTTTTCACTCCGAAGTCCGAAGTCTTTTGCATTTTACAGCGGGTAAATCTCTAGTTGTCACTGGTGATTGTCGTTTGAACCTTTCTAGATCCGCCATCAAATTGATAAGTTTAATTATATCAAGCGCTGTGAGAAAAGGCTATAAATCTCCACCTCCAACATCCTCACTCACAATATAGCCTACTAGCCGAGACTCCTTCTTTATGTGTACAGATGTGACGTAATGACGCAAAGACATGCTCAAATCTCCAGCGGAAATCCACCAGTACCACTGGAATTAAAAACATTATTACAAGCTTACTGTTTTGAATCGAGCTACGGCAAGCAGATAACGTTGAAAACTGTCTGGTTATGTATTTTCTCAAATATGTATCTGGATCATTTTTAATCCAAAAAAAGCTACGGACTGCAGCTTTAAATTAACAAATGATAAAAAAAATCTAAAACCTTTTCCGGCATAATCTTACTAAATAAGTGGTGTAACTTCATTAAAAAAAAAGCATTCTACTTCTTTTAAGTCCAAGACAATCTAATAAAATATGTTTAACAGTTCGGGGAATCTTACAAAACATGCATAAAGTTGGGTCTTCATCTTTAAGCAAAAAAGCATGAGTCAAACTTGTGTGACCTGTACGACATCTGGTGAAGACCACTTGATCAAGTCTAGGTTTAAGAGTGATAAAAAGTCTGTTTGTAATTTCCGGATGAGTTTCATATAGCTTATTATTCTTGCACATATTCCACTCTTCTTGGCACTTATTTAATGCACCGATTAATAATCGGGTCTGATATCTGAAGGAGGAATTTGACATTCATTAACTTCCTTAGCAGCTGAATCAGCTCGTTCATTTCCTGAGAGTCCAACATGGCAGGAACCCAGCAGAAGATAACACTGAAGAACTGATTTAGTAGATAATACACTTTGGTTAAGATACAGTCCACAAAAGGATGATACATTTTTAGTGTCCATTGCTTGAAGGCAAGATTTAGAGTCTGTAAAAATGATAGAATCCTTTTGTTGTGTATTTTCAATATGTTCCAAAGCTAAAAGTAAAGCATGTGCTTCAGCAGAGAAAATTGAGCACTGTTTTGTTATACGGATCCCATAGCGTTGATGTCCAGTCACCATTGCTGCCGTTACACCATTGTCTACCTTCGAACCATCTGTGAATATAGGTACGTGAAAAGGGAGCTGGTTTCTTATGCCCAAATATTGCTGTCTATATACATTTGGATAAGTCGCTCCTTTCCTCTGATGATCCAAATCCAAATTGATATTAGGCTTCTTTAATATCCAGGGAGATATAGAATTAAATTGTATTTGGTTTAAAATGTTCAAATTCATTTTTAAGTTCTCCAAATGTGGTTTAATACGAATACCGAGGGATCTGATGCTTTTAGGTTTGCTCTCATACAAGAGTGTAAATTGAAGACTGTAGAATAGGATGGATTGGTTTTATTTGCCTTTTATACTGCATTAGAAAATATATCTGTACATATGCAGTAACATATCTTATCACATGTACATCGATATATTATGAAGTGTATTACTAAATATATTGTCACGTATTTTTAAATATATGAAAAGCGGCAATTCCTTATGTATTATTCAATATATTGTAATATATTAACACAATATATTATTCTGCATATTTTCAAATATACTGTTACATCATTTAATATATTAATCATTCATATATACAAGTAAATATATTTTCTTTGAGTAAGGTTGGCAGAACAACCTGAGGAGAAGAGCCATGGTAAGAACAAGATGGTCAGTCTGTTTGAGCTCCAGAGATCATGTGTGGAAATGCAGGACACTGCAACACGGATCTGAGCTTTATAGCAGAGTGACCAGACGGAAACCACTCTTCAGTTATAATAATAATAAAAAAAAGAAATTATAAAAGTTTTTTGCATAAGGCTGCAACATAAAAAAGTGAAAAATTAAAGGGGTCTAAATACTTTCCGAACGCACTGTAGTTGACCGTGAAATAAGGCGAGTTATTGTGTGATGTCCAGAGGGTGTCCTATAACTTATAAAACAGTGTTTCTCAATGAAATTCATAAAACTGCAGGCCCATAGTTAAAATGCACATGACTATATTTGTGACCCTGGATCACAAAACCAGTCACAAGTCACACGGGTATATTTGTGGCAAAAGTATGGGTCAAAATTATTTTTCTTGTATGCCAAAAATCATTAGGATAAGTAAAGATCATGTTCCATGAAGATATTTTGTAAATTTCCTACCATAAATATATAAAACATTTATTTTTGTGAGTGAATGCAGCACAATCGCGAACATAAATGAACAACTTTTAAGGCGATTTTCTCAATGTTTTAATTTTTGTGAAGCCTCAGATTCCAGATTTTCAAATAGTTGTATCTCGGCTAAATATTGTCCTATCATAATAAACCATACATCAATGGAAAGCTTATATATTCCGCTTTCAGATGATGTATACATCTCAAAAAAAATTACCCATGTGAATGGTTTTGTGGTCCAGGGTCACATTTGATAAATGAATAAATGTAAATTCTCGAAAACAACCTGACAGCTTTGATAGCATCTTAGTTAATATACATACCTTAAAGAAATCCTGTATGGACTGGCTGCCATACAGAGCAGGAATATTAGCACTGAACTGCAGCAAATCCTCTGAGCACTGTCTTCTCTTTTCAATCACAGAATCATCAAAACGACCTTAAAACACAAAAGCACAAGTTATAATGCACTTGCTTTCAGGATTTTTCTGTGATTTCAAATCTGCACATCCAGGCAAAAGTTTGGACAACTACTCAATCATTATTTTTTTCACACACACTTACCAAAGACTATAGCTTTGGCGAAGGGGGGGAAGAGCTCTGACTGCCCAAAGAGGTTTCGGTGAATCTGCCAAAGGTCTTGATGAAGCTTTTTGAAATCGCTATACCTTTTCCACACTGTGATCTATTGACAACAAGTCAGACACAAAGACAGTGTGTGTTAGTAACTCACTCCAGTGCTCACTGAACATGCCATGCTTTGTACAGTTTTCCAAACAATGTTTCTAGTTTGTAACACAAGTGTTCTTCTGCAATGTGGCAATTTTATGAGTGAAACAAGATTTTAAAATCTATCGTTATTTTCAATTGCAAATCAGTTTCATTACATTAACCACCTGCATTCATTACTATAACTACTGGCAAGATTTCAGAGAAGCTGCATTAGCTACAACTGTAGACTAAAAAAATATACCTAAACTGCTATTTGGCCTAAATGATGAAAAATGAAAAGTGGTTTCAGTGGTAGATCAAATCATTACATTTTTTTTAAAGGTTTTTTTTCCCCCAACGGGAATAAGGCGCACAGATGAATCATTCACAATTAGACCGGTGACATGTATACTATTAATAAGAGTAAATAAGGTCATTTTGATTGACTTTGTTAAGGATTCTCACCTCCTGAATGTCCTCTGGGTTTTTCCGTGAGATAATCTGGACAGAAACAGAATAATATAGTCATCAACAGAGAGCAGCAAATATCTTTGATCTATATTATGAACAATAATACTGCTTTAGTCAGCTCTTTATTGTGCATAGTGTGTGTTTGTGTGTAAGAAGGAAGAGAAAGCAAAAACTGAAACACACTGCACTATCTAAAAACACCATTCATTTGTTTTATATGAAATAACATATTTACAGTATTGACATTACATATTTTTGTCTATGTCTGATTCAGTCACATCTGATCTGATGCTTCAGTTGACATGTGTATACGTTTGAGGAATATAAATAAAAAAAACAAATCACAGGTTTATGATTATGATATTACACAGCTGACTGTGACTGTTAAAGATGCATTAGATTTACTTGACATCAGTAAACACACACAAACACACACACAAACAAACACACACACACACACACACACACACACACACACACACACACACACACACACACACACACACACACGGCATTACAGATGTGACATGAATAATAAAATAATTCACTGACTGACAAATGTTTTCCTATTTTGTGTTGGTATTCTTGATAAACATTAGCGTTAGCACATGGGCACTACACCCTGGTAAAATCAGTCAAGTCTTACCCGGGCCGTGACTTTATACACCGTGTAGCCTTTCTTGTGTGTCGTAGGGTCGGTGACCGTGTAGAATCGCACAATTTCGTCTTTGTTCCGCGCGGAGATCATCCTGAGACAAGCATCGCCATAGCAGGACAATTACCCGTACAATAGACAGCTACAGCTGAGCTCATGAATATTAATCAGGCCGTGCTGATGACGCTGCGTGCGTAGCAACCTTCCGGGAAGCGTCACATTTAAAGGGACAGTTCCCTTCAAAATACAAATTCTGTCATTTACTCACCCTCATGTCGTTCCAAACCCGTTAGACTTTGGTTAATCATCGAGGAACAACAACAACAAAAAGATACAACCAGGCCAAATGTACACCTTAAATGGATAGTTCAATAAAAAAAAAACTAATTATACCGCAAAATAGTTAAAATCTCCGGTAATCTAGAGCGAGCGCGCACGCGAGACAGAGATTGTGCTTCAAACCGCGTAGCGCGCGCGCAACCTTGCGTGTGCAGACGCCCCCCGTTGGCAATTTGGATGCAGTACAAATAGACACAACTGACTATTGAAACTGATCAGGAAGATTATTAATAAAGCAATCTTAGTGACAGAAGTGATAGTTCTACCATATTTATAACACAGAGTCGGCTTTGCAGCCTTGGCTAAATGAAGTATACATGAGATTAAATGATCTGAGATGTCATCGCTCTGCTGCAGAATTTCAACGGCATCAACATTTATTCCATGTGATAATATTAGATCTAGAGTATGATTATGACAATGACTAGGTCCTGACACGTGTTGTCTAACTCCAATAGAGTTCAGGATGTCTTTAAATGCCAATCCCAATGCATCTTTTTCGTTATCTACATGTATATTAAAATCACCAACAATTAGGACTTTATCTGCAGCCAGTACTAACTCTGATAGAAAGTCAGCAAACTCTTTGATAAAATCTGTATGGTGCCCTGGTGGCCTGTATACACTCACATAACAACATTGTGACGGCCCAGATCCGGCCCACATCTGGCACATGTGGAAAGATGATCTGGCCCACATGCAGCGTGGAATGACGGCCCTCGGGCGGACCGCTCTTGTTTGCCTGATCTGGGCCACAAGCAGACCATAGTAATGCCACATGTCAGCCAAGAGCAAAGAAATAAACCAGAACTGGACCTTATCTGAGCCACAAAACCTGTGTATATTAAATATGGAGTCATCTCAGCCTTAATACGCCTAACAAGCAGAATCACTGAAGGAAAGAAGAGAACAGAAAAAGAGACGAGCGGAAACACAAGAACTAAAACTGACTTTCAGCCACAGTCTTAGATGAAATCAACTGAAGAGAAAAGAAGACATTAAATCTGCGAAGATCTCAGCAGAGGAGGATTAAACAACTCCACAAACAGCATTACCAGCTTCACTTATTACTAACCAGACTGACTTTATTTCTGTCAGACTTCTACAGAAGTTGTTATTGAGAATTAACTGGGTTTAACTCAAATGTGTTTCATTTGAAGTCACCATAACAGTGATTAGTGTTTCCATTAGTTGGGCTCTTAACTCTTAAAGGGTTAGTTCACCCAAAAATGAAAATTCTGTCAGTATTTACTCACTCATGTTCTTCCAACCCTGTAAGACCTTCGTTCATCTTCGGAACACGAATTAAGATATTTTTGATGAAATCTGAGAGCTGGATCACTCCTCCATACTAGTCCATAGGCTTCTTCAGGGATTGAACTTGCCGGCCTCGAAAAGTTATTAAAGACATCGTAAAAATAGTCCAAGTGACTACAGTGGCTCAATCTTAAGTTTATCAAGCGACGAGAATACTTTTTGTGCGCAAAAAAACAAAAATAACGACTTTATTTCAACTATTCATTTCCTTCTCTGTGGGCCTCTAGTCAGTTAAACTAGTGTGATTCCGTAGAGCTACGTCACACGTAGGCTCACTATTGGCCGACGCTGGTCATGTGGGTGATGCCTGTGACGTACAACAACAGAACCTTACGCTATTACACTAGTGAACTGACTCGAGGCCCACAGAGAAGGAAATGAATAGTTGAAATAAAGTCGTTATTTTTGTTTGTTTTTTGCGCACAAAAAGTATTCTCGTCGCTTGATAAACTTAAGATTGAGCCACTGTAGTCACTTGAACTATTTTAACGATGTCTTTAATAACTTTTCGAGGCCGGCAAGTTCAATCCCTTAAAAAGCCTATGGAGGAGTGATCCAGCTCTCAGATTTCATCAAAAATATCTTAATTCGTGTTCCGAAGATGAACGAAGGTCTTACGGGGTTGGAACAACATGAGGGTGAGTAATTACTGACAGAATTTTCATTTTTGGGTGAACTAACCCTTTAATGTATCTTTTGTCTTTTTAGGCCGCTGTGACAGTGTGTTTGTCAAACACATTTGCAGCAGCAAAGAAAGCTAAAGTGAAACGAGATCAGGTGATGATTTCCTGGTGATGGTTTTATAATCATCATGAAATAGACTGATTCACTGATGTCTTTTGAATCTAACAATTGTGTTGTACCATTAATATATTCACATCACAAACACTGTTACTGCAGCATGAGATCCAGCAATATGATAACAATCAGTTAGAAGATTTTAACAAACATGAGCACGAAAAGTTAATCTGCGTCCTTTGAAGTTATATGTTTCCTTATTCCCTGCCATTCGCAGTGCCCTTTGAACTGAACATGTTCGGTCCCTTCAGATTGGAATCTCGATCTGAAATAACTAAAATATTTTGGCGAAGTGATATGGAACTGTATGCAATCAAGACCGGCCTGAAACGACTTTTAGATCTCCTGAAAAACAACTAGAATCAAGCATGCAACAGACCCGTGAAGTGTGCAGAGCCGGAAGTAAAGCCAGAGGAGCTCAACAGGCAGAGCTGGGGTGCTTCTCAAACGCAAAGCTGCATCCTACGAAGGCTGAAAATCTCTTTTCTTTTCTTTTCTAAAATCTTCTTTTCTTTCGGCCTGTTTTGAAGGATGCATGGGATGTATCCTTCGCTGTCTTAAATCACCCACAATCCTTTGCACATATTCAAATTCACGAAAATAAACTGACGGAAAATGAGTCGGTACTGAGCTCGTCTGAGTTTATTATGAAATGTAAGACAAAAATAATGATTTTGGACATTAAATCATAGATGTTATCTTTTGTTTTGCTGTAAATTAATCACTTCCAGACAAGTACTAATTTTCCAGTATTGTAAGCCACTGGGAGACCGCAGATGGTTGTCATTCACTGTACTGTATGTATTAATAGAAAGCCAGTTAATATAAAGATTTGTAATACAAAGTATTTTTCCAAAATTAAGTTTAAATGGTATTTTAGTGCCGTGAACGCGGGGCGGAAACATTTATGATGTAGCCATGCTCACTTCCTATACCGTCTCATTATAGCGTAATGAGTAGGACTCTAGCCTACAAGCCTCTGAAGGACTGGACTAGGAAGGACACAGCCTCAGTAGGATACAGCCTTCCGTTTGAGAAACACCCCTGGTTTGTTGGAGAGGGAGGAAGGGTACTATTGTAAGCTGCCAGGGGATGGCAGTAATGCACTGATCTGAAGTGCGATCTACCAATAAACAGAAGAAGACGACTCAGGGACTTCTGCTTCTGACGCTTGTGACGCTTGTGACCTGTCTATGGTGACAGCGGTGTGTAGCACGTCAATGTTCACTCATTAATGTTTATGATTTCGGGGCATGACATAAGGTGTTAATGAGAGAAACATGAGGACTGTGCTGAGGCTGAGGCGGCTAATGCCAGAAGGTGAGATGAGATTATTTTGCCCAAAGTGATACAGTATATATTCACGTGTTGAACACCAACAGATATTAAATCTGCAGTGATAAACGTTTCAGACAGTATAGTGTGCTGCAATGTTGTCATATGATCTCACTACGTCGCGTGCTTAGTGTCACTCAAAATAAAATATAAAATAAAAACAAAATAAAATAAAACTTGAGGTCTAATCAAATATTAAATATTATGCATGTAAACGGTAAATGCACATAGTCTACTGCTTACATGTAGGCTAATAGTGTAAACAATACTGCTAATCTGAAACAGGGCTATATATACATTTCCAAGTGCATTATTTCCTCTTAAAATAATTAGATACATTTATGACATATCACTTTATTCTATAGAACCTATTTAGTTTGAATTCATTTTTAGTAGCTACATTTAAATAATAAATATGAATTTATAATTTGGTATCTTAAACCCCCCAAATGTCAGGTGGCGCAATATAATAACAACGAGGTAATAATAATGGGTTCAAATAAAGTATCAAAAGCAAGTAATAATCATGATTTTATTGGACAACACCTTTAAAATACATAATGTAATAAACAATTTAAACATGATCAACTTGTGTACATGACGTATTATAACAAAGGCCTGCAGAAGGCGCCAACAGCCTGGTGATTGTTGTTATTACACCTTGACAGCATGATCAAATATGCATAGATGTAATTGATGTATTCTGTGTTGGCGTAGATTTATAAATGATTTACATTACAAATCTGGTGAAATGACGCACGTTGCATTCCCAGATGAACGTTATAAGCAACCCAAACTCACAGCATATGCAGAGATGGAGTTAAAGTTTTCTTTTGTAATATAATTTAAAATATCATGTATTCATGTGATGGCAAAACTGCATTTTCACAAGCCATTACTCGAGTCTTCAAAGTCACATGATCCTTCAGAAATCATTTCTAAGATGCTGATATAAACATTTTTTTGTACAAATTTAGCCATTAAGCCTTTTTTTACAAGATGTGCTCATTATTTTGTGTGTGTTCTGCATAGAACAAAAGAGGTGCATAGTAGTACTGATACAGTTCTATCTGTTGTAGTGCTGTGGACCATGTGTGGAAACCGATCCTGCTCAAACTCTTCCACCCGGAGACTGGAGTCAAACACATCCATCCTTAAACATCTTATTTCCAAGATCACTGCCACAGGTCCAATCTCAGTAGCTGAGTATATGAGGGAGTCGCTCACTAACCCAGTGTCGGTATGTATCATATCACAAGCACTTTTTATACTGTGTATTATGGAATTCCGAAACTTTTAGGGCTGGGTAAAGATGAATCGCAGTCCTTATTTGAATGATTAAATTGGGTGATCGATAGCCTTTTTTCATAACCGATTCAATTCGGAGTATCGGCCGATAATTATATGATATCTGTGCTGTTTTTTTCTTGATCATTGTAGAATATCTACCTTTCTGTGTGTAGAACTGATGATCACTATTTTTCACGTGTTAAACACTATCCACTAAATACACACTACTTAATTATTGAGGGGAAAAAACACACAAATATATGTAAAATATAAACTTGGCTAGTGGTTAAAGCAGCAAAAGTTATTCTAATTGACTTCCCTGAGTATGTATTGTGAATTTATTCATTCATCCCCCGATATGTAGCCTATTGTGAAAAGCGTTATACGAATGAATGCGAATTAAATTGAATTATTCAATTCAATTCGCATTAATTTGTATAGCGCTTTTCACAATACACATCGTTTCAAAGAAGCTTTTCTGAAAATGCACGAGTCCACATTACAATTTAGAGTGATCTGTTATCAGATGTAACTGTCTAAGTTATGTATTTCAGAAATGTACATGTCATGGATTTAGCTAACAATGTATTCATTTAAAGGTGGATTGTGTAATATTTAGGAGAATCTGTTGACAGAAATGCAATATCATATACATAACTATGTTTCCAGTGGTGTATAAAGACCTTACATAATGAACCGTTATGTTTTTATTACCTTAGAATGAGCCGTTTCTATTTAGATACACCGCGGGTCCCCTTACATTGTAATGCGCCGAGATGTTTCTACAGTGGCCCTGAATGGACAAACGCGTTGTTCTTCGTGCAAGGAAGCTAGCTAAAGTCAGCGAATAAAATACTGACACAATGATGAACAACTAACAATAATATTCGCAATAACATTGTTTTACTGAATAATAAAGTAAACCTTATTTTTTAATTAATCTTTGTAAAGAAACCTCATTGCTTAACTGGCGACTCTCTGCTGTCTCAGACGACGACATCACTTCCTGTCGACCACCTCACCACTAGATGCGCTAAAAATCACACACTGCACCTTTAAGGCAGAAACAATGAGCTCATTGAAGTAATGAATACTTGTTAATTGACAAATGATTAGGATATATAGACAAATGTAGCATTGGTGGATGTTGATTCAGAGTTGGCATCATCTGAAGTCTTCGCAGGAGTTAGTCTCTTCACAGGTGTAGATTTAAACTGGGAAAGTGAGTCTGAGCCCAGAACATTATCAGGAAAGCTATTCTAGAGTCAAATGTGAAAACGCTCTCCCTCCTATAGTGGACTTCCGACTTACATATGATAGGTACAACCAAAAGCCCAGAGTTTTGTGATCTTAAAGAGCTGGATGGATTCTAAGACGATAGAAGATCAGTTAAATACACAGGAGCTACAAGGTTTAGGGCCTTATAGGTCAGAAGCAATACTTTATAATTGATACGGAACTTAACCAGTGTAGAGATGATAAAATTGGTGTTATATGATTATGCATTTTGGACTAATTATAGCTTGTTTATTGAGTATGAAGGGCAACCAGCTAGTAATGCATTACAGTAATCTAGTCTAGAGGTCATGAATGTCGGTGATGTTTCTGAGGGGGGAGAAGGCAGTAACAGGTGGGACTTAAACGCGCTTCTCGTGTATTAAACAACAGCACACATTTGTCATACACTACATTTTTTCCAGTTGTGTAGTGTAAAATAAAAACTCTACAACATGATCTCATCCCCAACTTTATTAGTAAACTCATCCATATATGGACCAAACAGGGTCATCTTCAGAAGATAAGAGGATGCGGTGTGTACCACTGTACAGCGATCTATCCCATCTTGTTCATAAGTACAGAGCTCTAACGCGACACGAGTCATTAAACACACCAAGAAAGATTTGTTGCGGGTTTCTCATCTGCATAAGTCCACTGAACGAGAGCAACAGTGTCTGACAAAAATGCAAAATGCTTGACAGTTAATGTGTAGCTGCACACTGGTGGTTGAGGAGAGACACCTGACATGAGTGTATAGCGCTTTGGGTATACTAGGAAATGCGCTATATAAATACCTTCATTCATTCATTTTCATTCATTCATTGATTCATTCATTTTCATTCATTCATTCATTCATTCATTCATTCATTCATTCATTCATTCATTCATTCATTCATTCATTCATTCATTCATTCATTCATTCATTCATTCATTCATTCATTTTCACATTAGAGCCAGGAAAATCTGATTATTTGGATAAAGCAGACTTCACACAATCCTAACATGGACGTTTGGATGAGAATATGCCCCTCCCCCATGTCTGAATTGAACTGCCTGCAAGAATATCAGAATAAGCATTACACCATTTAGTAGCTCAGTAATAGGTTGTATATAAAACTATTTATTATCTGTAGTTTAGAAAACATTACAAATCTGGTCAGAAGCTGGTCATTCTGTATCCACTTAATAATAAACAATAAGCATTTATGCATTCATTTTAATCTACCCACCCACTTTTAGACATTACAAGAGCTAATTAGATAATAATTGCTCTTTCGCCAAAAATCCAAATTCTGTTTTCTGTGTTTTCAGGGATATTATGTGAAAAATGACATGCTTGGAGCAGGTGGTGATTTTATTACATCACCAGAGCTCAGTCAGATTTTTGGTGAGGTAAGCATTATTTGTAATTTGTAAGCATTAATTGAATATAAAACCATACATTTATTAAAAAAAGTGTGTGTGTGTGTATAATATGGTCTTTCTTCCACAGCTGTTGGGTGTGTGGTGTGTCAGTGAGTGGATGGCAGCGGGGAAATCCAGTGTGTTCCAGTTAGTGGAGCTCGGGCCAGGTAGAGGTTCATTGGCCAGTGACATCCTGAGGGTAAATACTTCAATGGATATTGTCTGGTAGGGAAAGGCACCATAAAATTCATTCATATTGGCACTTTTGGTAAATATGAGCAAAACAGGATGTGTAAAATTGCTTCTTGGTCTTTCATTCAAAACCTTCACAAAAATCTCACTTTTAAATCCAAGCAAAATTGTGTGCCACAATGATTACTTCTCCTGTAATGCTTAATGATGTTGAAGAACACATAGCAAGGGATCTGAAAACATTCCTCCTTACAGAATCTCTCCAGGTTCTTTAGATTCAAAAACTAATCTAAATCAAAAACTAAATCAAACCTCAATAAGAAACCTGTGGACTCTCCTCTTCATTTTAGCCCACAGGTTTGATTTAGTTTTTTTTTTTTCAGTGCATCTTTTGTGATTTCTTAGCTGTCACTCACTACACATGTGTTAAAAGTTCAGCTTGAAATTGATCAGCATAGTAGCAGCTCATCTGACCGTAGAGCACGGTCCCACTGAAAGCTCCAGTAACGTCTGGCAGTAAGTGTTCCTCATTAAGCATACAATATGAATTGGAAAAATAATAATAAAAACAATAAATTAAAGGGTAAAACATTTTTTTAAAGGAGAGTTCACCCAAAAATGTAAATTCTGTCATCATTTACTCGTCCTCATGTCGTTCCAAACCCATAAGATTTTCGTTCATCTTTGGAACACAAATGAAGTAGCCTGGGAAAACCCAGACAACTTCCGGCAAATTTAGATTTGCTCTGAAAGTTAGTCTGGCAAAGAGCTCATTCAAGCCCATTTCCAATCCGTCGAAATCGAGGCACCAATCAGAAACGTTGGGGCGGGCTTTACACGATGACGACAGCGCTGGGATTTTGAAGCAGATTTTGTAGCCTACATTACAAAGATGGATGCCGCCGTCGAACATCACTCGTTCCAATCAGCTATCGCGTCTGTTTTAAGCGATTTGAACGTTTCCTTTTTGTTAAAAGGAAAAATGAAAATTCTGTCAGTATACTCGCCCTCATGTTGTTCCAATCCCGTAAGACTTTCGTTCATCTTCCGAACACAAATTAAGATATTTTTGATGGAATCTGAGAGCTGTCTCACTCCTCCATAGGCTGCAAGGTAATTGTATTCTGCCAGCCCAGAAAAAAAAAGGTTGTAGAAACATTGTTAAAATAGTCCAAGTGACTACAGTGGCTCAACCTTAAGTTTATCAAGCGACAAGAATACTTTTTGTGCGCAAAAACCCCTAAAATAACAACTTTATTCAACCATCTCTTCTCTTCCATGTCATTCTCCTAAGCTGTTGACGTAGTGTAACAGCGCAGCGCTTCTGGGTTGTACGTCAGAACGTCGGCTCACTATTGGCCGACGCTGGTCATGTGTGTGATGCGTGTGAAGCTGGCCAATAATGAGCCAGCGTTCTGACGTACAACCCAGAAGCGTTTCTCGTTCACTGAAGACCCTCCCTGTATAAGCTCTATTTTGAAGCATCTGACTTCTTTGTCCTCTTTTCATGCCTGAAGACGACCACCAATAGTACGATCCAGTTGAACTCTAGTGCGGACTGTGAAGGAGGATTTCTTTGGGTTGGACCTACTGAACAAAAATGCCCAGTTTTGTTGAATCAGTCTTCTTGTTTGTGACTGAGGGTCTTCTGATCAACTTTTGCAACAGTGAAAATAGAACGAGAGAGGGCAAGTCATTTTTTCACCATGGAAGGAAGTCTTGTTTAAAACGTGTAACGCAAGGATAGCAGCCTATGCACAAAACATAATGACTGCACAAATACAATTTAGAGTACCAAAGAAATACTCTATGTGCTTACAAGTGTGGGGATGCACTAAATTTCATATGAGCAAGTGTTGTGTTCTTATTTGCCAGGTTTTCAGTCAGTTAAAAGCTGTCCTGGGAGAGACTGATATCTCTGTTCATCTCGTGGAGGTCAGCCCAAAGTTAAGTCAACTTCAGGCCAAATGTCTAACTGGAGATCAGACGTGGACATGTAATGAGGATCAGCTTGTTTACCGCAGTGGCACCACATTTACTGGCCTGCCTATAAACTGGTACCGCAGGATAGAGGATGTCCCTAGGGGTACGGACACATCAAACTGACACAAACTCGCTCCTTGATAAGGTAATGATGTTTTCTTGTTGTAATGAAAGTCTGTTTTGCTTTTGCCAGGTTTTAGTGTCTTCCTTGCCCATGAGTTTTTCGATGCTTTACCCATTCACAAGTTTCAGGTACACTCTTAGCATAAGTTAATTTTAAAATAATAATTTTCCAACTTAAACATTAGCATTACATTAAAGGATTTTTTCTTTGTCTTTTAGAGAACAGAGAACAGCTGGCGGGAGGTGATGGTTGATATTGACCCTGAACGTCCAGAAAAACTGAGATTTGTGGTTTCTCACAGACCCACACTGGCCTCCAGCATGCTTATACAGGCGAGCTCTCCCTCTTTCGCTGAGAACATTTGTCATGTGGCCGTGTAAAAGCAACATCAGTTCATTGAAATGCTTTCCAAAATAGTAAGGTTAAAAAGAAGTATAAATTATATAATAAAAAAAGTGCAAATATGTACATTCCCACAACACTTTAACAACAATTAACTTTGCTCTGCCTCAAACGGCAGACTAAAAAGATGCGTCTTTGAGCAAGACTAAATGCCTCCGGCGTGGGCGAGAGGGTTATATTATCCCTCTATGCGCTTGTCCAAAGTCTGGCAATATATAAATAATGTTGACATAAGAGGGAAACATCCTTTTTGCATATTTACACCATTGTAATGGTAATCCAACATTAAAGGGTTAGTTCACCCAAAAATGAAAATGATGTCATTAATGACTCACCCTCATGTCGTCCCAAGCCCGTAAGACCTCCGTTCATCTTCGGGACACAGTTTAAGATATTTTAGATTTAGTCCGAGAGCTTTCTGTCCCTCCATTGAAAATGTACGGTATACTGTCCTTGTCCAGAAAGGAAATAAAGACATCATCAAAGTAGTCCATGTGACATCAGTGGGTTTGTTAGAATGTTTTGAAGCATCGAAAATACATTTCGGTCCAAAAATAACAACTACGACTTTATTCAGGATTGTATTGTCTTCCGGTTCTGTTGTCAATCCGCGTTCAGGAGTCCGCAGTGACGCTGCTGACGTAAGACGCTGCTGACGTCTATCTGGTAACCAGTTATCTAGTACACCAGATAACACGTCAGCAGCGTCTTACGTCAGCAGCGTCACTGCGGACTCGTGAACGCAGAACCGGAAGACAATACAATGCTGAATAAAGTCGTTGTTTTTGTTATTTTTGGACCAAAAAGTATTTTACATTTTTAATGGAGGGACAGAAAGCTCTCGGACTAAATCTAAAATATCTTAAACTGTGTCCCGAAGATGAACGGAGGTCTTACGGGCTTGGAACGACATGAGGGTGAGTCATTAATGACATAATTTTCATTTTTGGGTAAACTAACCCTTTAATGCCTGTGTCTCTAAATAATATCAGATCAATTTAACTTTTTATGAAATGGAATGGTTAGTTCAAGTTGTCAAGAGGTAAAACCATAAGAAAATGACAATATTCATGATTCAAAAAATACTTGGCATTTGTGTTTTGAAAAGATTTCTATGTTTCATCCTTTTGTACTTTCTTGTTTGTTAGTGAGTGAACCCTGTCAATTGTTATTTTCAGAAAGATGAAAACAGGCAGCATGTGGAAGTGTGTCCAGAAGGGGGAGTCATTGTTCAGAAACTGGCCAATCGGATTGCAGATGACGGAGGCGCAGCATTGATTGTAGACTATGGGCATGATGGAACAAAAACTGATACTTTCCGAGTAAGTGCCACATGATAGCCATCTCTCTCAGGCTTTCTCTGATGTGGTCAGTCCTGGATAGTTGTTGTGTTCTTATCTTGTGGAAGCTTGTGGACATGATCATTTGCAGGGCTGTTGAAATGTATTAATTTGGACTAACATGGACTTTTTTAAGCGGTCACATTGTTGCTATTTTAATAGTTCCTTATTTTGTTCATTGGGTGTAATAGAATAGGTTAACATGCTTTAATGTTCAAAAAACACATGATTTTTCACATACTGTACATTATTGCAGCTCTTCAATAGAGTTGCATTTTAACACTGTACACAAATACATCAGTATCACCCCACTCGTGGTTTTTTGAAGCTGTTAGGTGTCTTGAAAAAGGCGGTTGCTAACAAGTGGCTAAATGTGACTAAAAGGTAAACTTAGTCCGCTTTTACAGCATCGTTACGCTTATAATTGTGTTCTTACAAACTATTCTAACTCAGACTTTCGGCGAAAATGTTTATAGATAAAAACTGAAAGAGTTGTCAGAAGCTTAGTGATGGTGACGTAGAAGTCATGCGACCATGGTGTAGTTTATTAATAGCCTACCTTTAGCTTTTTACTTCTGGCGACTGCATTTGGGCTTCAAAATTAATAAAAGTTGTGTTCATCTGCCTATGGGAAAATCCTATTGGGTTTTTGTTGAGGGAACCAGTGTGATGCGAACTGCCGGTTGGCCTACAAAGTGACGTCACACCTGCACCACTCTATACCCAGTCTGTCTGGAACACGCTGATTTCTACAAAGCCCCTCCTCCCGAAAAGCCCAGAGTGCTCTGATTGGCCAGCTGTCCCAGTGTGTTGTGATTGGCCAAACACCACGCGTGCTTTGAAAATGTAACGCCCCTTACCATAATCGTGAGTTTCGGAGTCTGAAGCCTTTAAAGCAATTAGAAACGCAAACAATTAATAATGTCATCTAATTTACCATCTTAGTTAGTGTCCGAGTCACATTCTGAAACGTGGACGATCAAGCAAACCAATTGGAACTGGCATTGCAAGCATGACTTGTGTATATCTGGCACTACACAAGCAAACTTTTGGGTTGTACTGCTCAGGAACATCATTATCACTAAATCTTGACCACTGATTCCTAATTTCATCTGTCTTCAGATGACAAACAAAGGGGTTTTGCTTTCACATCCAAACACACGACATGATGACAACACATCAGTTCACTGAAGCCTTGTCTTCTCTCGTTGTGTATGCCTATGGGTGGGCATTATGCTAATATTTCACATTGTGACAGTAATTTCTGGACTTGGATCGAGGTGTTTTAGGCAGGTCTGGATCAGTGTTCTCTGTTAGAATAAATCGCTTTCTGGGAGACTATGAGCTTTGTAACTTTGCAAATCTTATACATGCACAAACAGACACATTACACACTAAAGGAAAAGGAAAACAGTAGAATACTTCAATCAACCTAATAAGCTTGATTTATCATAGAGAAGAAGATCTAAGTAAACCCATTAATTGTTTCTGCACTATTTGGTGTGATCAAATCCAGAGCAAATGAACTGTGGAATGGGACAGATCTCAATCAATGGGGGGTCTGTGCTTCATTAACATACAGATCATGGCTCTTACAACAGGGGAGGTAAATTGCAACTGTATAAAAGTTTAGGATGTTCGGTGTTCATCCGGAAACCAAGGTGCTTCATGCACTGTCACCACTATATGCTGCATTCTTATTATTTGCTCACATTTTTTCCCCTCAATTTTCCTCAAGTATTTTTTGATCTTGGTATCATGAGTAAGTCATATGGATTTGTAATGACATGAGGGTTAATTTTTATGTCCCTCCCTCACCAAATCTGAAAGAGTCTCATTTACTTGGATGTACGTCATTGGTTACATTTAGCAAGTGTCTACAAGATAATTTATTATGAACATGTTTTTTCTGCATGAATTTGTTGTTAAAGTTTATGTTTGTGGCAGGGCTTTAAAGGCCATCACCTCCACAATGTCTTGGAAGCACCTGGCATGGCAGACTTGACAGCAGACGTGGACTTCAGTTACCTGAGGAGAATGGCAGGGGATCAGGTGACCTGCTTGGGACCCGTCACACAAAGATCCTTCCTGAAGAACATGGGCATTGACTCACGCCTGCAGGTGAGAACGACTGAAGTAATGTCTGTGGACTTGTTTCAAAAGCATCCTGAGCAATGTGAAACACAATTGTGTGTTTTTTGGCCATTGACCAACTGAAACCTGGTCTAAAGTCAATGGCACAATTTTTTTGTGTTATTTAAAGAGCACGTTAGAAATATGTGCATATAGGCGGGTCCACAACACACGTACACTTTGTCCCGTAGATGGTCTGCACGCTTTAACCTCGCGCACGAGCAGATCCGTTTCCTCGCTAGAGAAGCAGTTTTCCTCCATGTAAATAGCGAATAGCAAAATTGTGAGCGCAACTGACTTTTAAAGGGAATGGGAGATGAGACTGATTGGTTTATTGCACGTTACGCCCAAAACACACCCATTACTCATCATTAAGAGAATAGGGACAACCCTTTTAGACCATGCGCGCAGACCATTTTTCCCGTCGTTAAACTAGCAAAAGTGGATTCGGACACGCCATAAGTGCATTTGTGCTTTAGACCATGTGCTTAGATTGTTAAAATAGGGCCCTGAGAGTGCATGAGTTAAAGGCCAATAGAACCATTTTAAATTACTGTCGGGTACCCTTCAGAAGTTTGGGATCAGCAAGATTTTTTTTTTAAAAGAAATTAATACTTTTATTTAGAAAGCAATATATTGATCAAAAATGACAGTAAAGACAATGTTACAAAAAAAAGTTTGTTTGCATTAAGTTTTCTGTTAGGGTTAGGATATAGTATTTACAACTATCTGTATATGAAAACAGTAGAAGTGTAAGTGTGTAGTATTTTGATAACTGACCCAAAATAATGCAACTTTTTCAGGGAGAATTGCTTTATCTCACGACCTTTTGTATTTTCATGTTGTGTTTCAGGTCCTCCTGAGGAGCAGTCATGACCCGTCCACCAGAGCGCAGCTCACCAACAGCTACGACATGCTGATCAACCCTGAGAAGATGGGGCACAGGTTTCAGTTCTTCTCTGTGCTCGGTCGAGGTCGGCTGGCTCAAAGTCAGGGGAGTCAGAAGAACTCGACGCCGGTGCCCGTGGCGGGCTTTGCTGAGCTCACTACGCAATGAAAACACTGTAAATGGACCGCAACGTCCACGTGTTCTGAATAACTACACAACTAGATGTAGATCCGGGGCTACAGATGTACATTGAACTGCACTCGTTTTTATAGTATCGAGCACATTTCTCCCTTTGTGTCTGAAATCACCCCCTATACCCACATTTTGATTCTGTCAAAATTAATCATAGCCCTAGATAAATTAGGTGTCAACTTTTAACCTTTTTTTTTTTACTACTTCAAATGCACATTCTTACGTGATCGCTCCTCAACCTCATCCCTCGGAAAACGTTCACTATGAGCGATGTAATATCACTGGTCAAAATGTTTAACAATCATGTCATGAATCTTTTTATTTTCATATTAGTTCTGAAGCAACTGTATTTTTTCTAGTTGTAGTTATTATAAGGGAAACAAGTCATTTAGCTCATAGCAGAATAATTTCAATTCAAAGGGGAATAATGACATTTGTGAAGAGAGGCTATGGAATTAATATTCAGCAGTGGATTGAAGAACAGAGAAAGAACAGAAATTCACACAGGTTTGGAACAACATGATGGTGTGTAAATGATGACAGAATTTTCATTTTTGGGTGAACTATCCGTTTAATGAGTGTCGAAGACTTGAGCTGTAGATAAAGTCTTTGCAGTAAAGTCGATCTTGGCAAAGTTCCAACGAAAGCTCAGATTTGACAGTCTTGAAGGTCAAGGATTCTTTGGATGGCAAGAGGGAATATTTGATTTTGACATCCTTGTTTTACAGTAATTAGCATAGTGTCTGTATGGTCATGTGATTCCCAACTTTCCATGATTTGGTTATGGATTTCATAATGGGGGTTATGATTAATTAAGTTAATTTAGGTCACTTTTCTTGAAATTAGTCAACAATCACAAACAAACACTTTCAGTATGCTTGTTAGTTAGATATTTGTATAAGTAATAAATATGTAAAAGCATGAGAATAATTTTGTAGGTTACATGAATAATATATATTTTTTTCTTTTTCACCATGATTTAAATTATGAAAATGATTGTCCACAGGTTTAGACAACTTTGTTCCTGCAAGCCCACAGTCCTGCAGAGTTTAGTTCTGTCCCTAATCAGACAATCCTGTCTGTCATTTTCAAGCAATCCTGAAGACAGGAGATTTGATTTATTGGGTGTGTTTGATTATGGAGAAAGTAAACTGTGACTGTGGCCCAATATCTGAACTGGTTTGTGCGTTTGCTGCCGGATAAAAGGTTGTTTGGACCTTTGGAACATGTAAGGAAGCATCTACAAATTTGAAATTTGCTTGATTTCAGACTTGTTTCCACAAAATGTTTCATACACAGCAGGACTATTTAGTTGAGTTTCTGCAGGGCCATGACCCACAGTTTAGTTTCAATCCTAATGTTTAATCAGGATCTCATCTTTTTTCATGGCTTCCCAGACACATAATGTAATAGCCCTGATATACAGCATCCTTTCATAGCCTAATAGATTGTTTCAATTATGAAACATTGAACTGACTCTGACCTGAATAACGACAGTTGTCTTCTGTCGAGCTGCTTTACGTGTTTATTACTGCAAAGTTGCTTTGAAACAATCTGTATTATATAACATTTGCTGTATAAATAAAAGTGACTTTACTCTCTCCAAATGTGAGGAATAAAGGGGACACAAATTGTCAATATATTCTCTAAATGTAAATATCTAGGGAGAACACGAGTTGTTTTTGTAAACAATTTAAAGTTTACAAGTCAAAAACTTTAAATTGTTTACAAAAACATTTAATGCCATTACTTGTGCTCTGATTTAATACCTTTTTAAGACCCGCAGAAACCCTGATCCAATTCATTTTTTCTTTTGTTTCCAGGTTAGTTGTGTTTATAAAAAGAAAAGAAAAAACACCAAGCATTTTCAAGATGTTAAAATGTAAATTTTTTAAAGCATAACAGAATCAAGCATTTTCCAAAGAATGTAGGAACCCTGGATTTAATACAACACGTGTGAAACAGCCCATATTGACTGAACCACTTAACAACTCTACAGCTGTAATATAATAGAAACATGGCATAGCATTCGTCCCTGTCCCGTATATTAGAGGTACAGTCAGTGGGCCGGGATGTAATGTGTCCGTGAAGCATGTTAGGAGGTCTGGTCCATCAAGCTGGAGAAGAAATTGAAGACTCAAGTTTTTATTTTCTTCCTATTGACACTCTGTCGCTTTTTGGTTACTCCAAACTTTCTCTTGTTGAACGTGGCCTTTTTCCTCCTGAGAGTTTGGACATCTCTCCCACAGATCCAGTCATTCCGTTGAACTTCCCACTTCAGCTGCTTAACATCTGATGGAAGAGACACGGGAAAATCAGGAAAAATGTCATTGCATAAAAGCAGCAAGTCTGTAGTTTCTTCTTTCAATAGATGTCACTCACAGAAACAGTTTATGCAGGAATGATATTAAGCATTTTAATTCTCTATTATTGTATCAAAACAAAACAAAAATATCTATTATCAGCACTCACCGGCTTTGTCCGTATTGGCCATTGCATTCATACCAGTGTTTTCAAACTTCAAGCCTGCGTTTTCTTCCAGCAAACACCCAAACTGTTAAGAAAGACATTTCCGGTTCATTCAGCTGCATTAGAAATGTGCTTAACATCTCCTCTCTTTTGAGCTAGGTGCACATCTAACTCACTAATAATTAACTGTAAACTGGTTATTAAAGATTACGGTTAAGCCCTTCCATATATTGGTCTGTGTCATAGGTACACTTACACATAAAAAAAGATTGGAACATTCCTGCTGTTAACTAAGAAATAAAGCAGGTTTAAAAGGCAAGGGGTGGTCCCATCAAATATTGCATTTTCATTTAGTTTATAAAAAAAAAAAAAAAACATTGAACATGTCAAAAATACTTCTATGGATCTTGTTTTTAACCCCAAAACCATCTACCTCTTCAGCTGATGCAAACACTGCTTGGTCCTTTGTTCTTTTCCTTTTCTTTTCAGGTTGAGCGCCTTTGGGATGATGGAATCACACACACGAGAAAAAAAGTCGATTCAGTTGATTAGGAAAAAACATAAGGGTAAAAAAAAAAAAAAAACACTATTACATTATATACAGTAATGAGTTTGTGTAGAGTTGAACATTTACTGCTTTGAAATACTGGAAAGACCGTAGCTGTAAAGACCAGTTACCCTTCCCAATGGATACAATAAAGAAGGATTTCACCAGGTTGTGTGATATTCACCAAAAAAGCGATTCTTTAATCGGAGCCAGTCATCCAGCTGATACAATTACCTTTTTTCTTTCTTAGATTTTCTATGGAAATCGTTTCCATTTCTTCTCATTTTGCATTATCTTTGAAATTACAAAATCATACTTATAAGCTCGATAATGAAAATTGCTGTATTGACGCACCTGCTTCATCATCATCATCATCATCATTAGCAGCAGCATCTTCTGTTTCCATGAACTCTCCACCTTCATCCTCCAACTCATCTTCAAGATCCTCCATACTGCCCAGAGAGACTTCCTCATCATCAAGGTCATCGAGGTCAGAGTCAGACGCAGAGTCTTCTGGATCTTCACCTTTCTTCGACTTGGGCGTCACATTGCTGCAACAAAGATCGTTTGGCCACATTAACTGCTATTAACATTACTGGATAAACATTTTAAGATCGTTTAAAACGATTTGTGCAAAAGAATATATTCACTAACACAACAAAACATCACCACAGCTTTGGAACACACAAATAATTGTGCAATGTATTTGCAACCTTCCATGGAAAGGCTATCCCCCAACAGTGGTTCTCAACTTTTTTTAGGATATATATATATATATATATATATATATATAGACAAAGCAAACAATAATATATATATATATATAAATAAATAAACAAATTTATTTTTCTCAAAATAAAATGTTTTTTTTTTTAAATAACGATAGAATTCAATAGACCGTAGATCCTGAATCGGGACAACTGGGGGGCACTAATGCCTTCTCCTGTCCTGAATTCAAATTCAACTTCCCTGTTTCTATGCTTTTCTCCATGTGGTAATGTTAAGCTCACACTGTTCTGTTCTTGCGCTAGATTTAGGCGTGCTGCATTTTGATTGGATTTGATTGCACACTGAAGGGGAGTGGCGGAGAATTCCTGCTTTGTGCCATTCAGAAATCATGCATGCTCGCTATATAAATAAAGGTGATCTTATTATGATTTCGATTAACCGCACAACCCTACACATCAGCACCAAAATACCGGAAAACTCAATTCAACTCGTGGTCAATTATTAAAAATGGATAACTTCTGATTATCCATTTGATGATGTTTTCTTCTTTGGATAAGAAGAGTGAACAGCACTGAACATACCTTGCAAAGTCCAAGTCATCGTCCTTGAACTCAGTGAAAAAGCTGTCTCCTTCAAAAGCATCTGAGAAGGCAAAATTTGGGGCAGGTTACTCACAACAGGAAGATCAAAAGTATAAAGCTGAATGGTTTTGATTTCAGGGCCTACCAAGAACCCGATCAAATTCGTCATCGTCAACGTCCTCCACACTCTCATTGTCTTCCTTTCGGTTTGGCCGTTTCCACCGTTTCTCTGCATCGCGCTTCTTAAAGTACCTGAATGACACAAAACAGCAGAGTTACATTGTTCATTACATTGTTCCACTCTTAAGTAACAGTCTTTTGTATTTGCTTGAAGCTTCTACTAACCTGTAGAAGAACACCTCATCCACAGGTATCTGACTCTCCTCTTTGGCCAAATATTCATCACAGTTAACTGCACAAAAACGAATAAAAAAAAAAAGTGTTGTTGTTCTGACCTACCATAAAACGTAACCTTCATACATATATATATATATAAATAAATGTACACAAGTTTTAGATCTAAAATTACAGAGCAAATTGTAATCATTTAATTTGTCTACAAATAAGGTCCAAAAGTTGAATGCATTATAGAAACGTTAAAAGTTCCGTTCATCAAAAAATTGGCTTCATTACTTCAACCTTCATTAGAAATTGTTCAGTGCAGGGCTCTAGACTGCAGCCAAATGGTCGCAATTTGCAATCTTTTTTCTAGCCAGTGCAACTAAATTTTGTTAGAGGTCACACTGGTGTCACCACCACATTGCCCAACTGCTAAGAGTTGCCATTTCTGTTGCATATGAGAAACATCAAATGGCAAACGAAACAAAAGCAGAACGAAACCGCGCTTCTCGTTAAAGAGAAGAAAGCGTCAGCTCAGAACAGGTAATCGTGGGCCGGTCTCGGTCACGCGACAGTTACTACACAACGCTGGGACATTCAGTGAGAAAGCATTTGAATTGGCCACAGTATTAATAACATCACTGTGAGATATAGTGAGGAGCATTTAAATTCAGCACAGAATTCTCTGTTATTAACCATATCAGATCAAACAACGCTGACTTAAAGACCAGGAGGAGCATTGTGCCATGAACTAACAATAGGCGTTTCAATCCACAAATCACCAACATTCACCATGGGTTTAATGTAGCAACGCTGGCTGTAACTATGGTATTGTGGAAGAAATAGTCAAATGTTTATACATTATTCATTTCAGGGTTCGTAAACCTTTTAAGAGTGAAATTCAAGCACTTTTCAAAGACTTTCAAGTGCTTAACACTTCTTCCAGCACTTCAAAGCTATAAATATTATCCAGTTTAAATGTTATTTTTAATGTGAGAACCAAAAATAGTATTTGTTTATCCATCAAAGATTGCCACCATTTGTAAAATCAAAAGTTTTAAGAGGTAGGAACACCAACACGTGGCAAACAAATGCTTTTATTTAAAAGTAAAACAAATATGAAATTACCATTATAACCAGTAGATGGCGGCATAGGAGCACGGATCGACTTTTTTTGTGCCATTTCCACTCCCTAATAGTTTATTTTCACACATTTGGCTTTACATTTATATTCAGATGTTATGAAATCCCTATTATAAAATACCAAATCATCAAGAAATCAATTTTTGTCAAAGTTTGACACTTTTGGTTCTGAAAGTATGAAGTAGGAAGTCACGAAGTGTCATGAAAAACAAAAACCTTAATTGTGAAGAATTACACAAAGTAAAGAGCGCTCTGTTTATAATCACTGAAGCTGCCTGTCAGTTCAGTATGACACTATAAGAGAACAATGGTACATTTAATAAGAGTAGAATATTCATTTTTTTCCCCTATAAAAATTTGGTTTTTAAAAGTTAATTTTATCTGCATCTTAACTCAAGCTCAGTGCTTTACTGTCAAAAGTGCATTTACAAGAAAAAAAAACATGTGATATTATTAGTAACGACATTTATAAATGCAAAACAATAGTAATTTGATGATTAAATTGCAGGACTCACCAGGTAATGACTTGACATTGCTGAGCGTCCTCCTGTACTTGGGCTGCATCAGCGTAGCATCTGTGTTTTCTAGAATACAAAGAAAAGATTTAGCAAAATGAATAAAGTCACCAGTTCAAGAGCTTAAATTGTAATTTTGTTGAGTTTGCTTACGTTTTCCCTTCATTTGCTTTGGATTCCTATACACAAAGCGATCTAAGAATCGGATAAGTGTGAAGTCCTGCAGCGGATCCCCCGTGTACAGAATGAACTCTCCCTGGGGGTCAAATGAAGGTCCCACTTTATATTAAATGTCTTTAACTTATATGTACTAACATTTAAATCAATCATTTGATACAATGCACTTCTTGTGTACATACATGTTTTAAAATTGAACCTATATTATTATTATTATTATAACTACCTGCATGCAAATTAAAGCTCCAATTAATTTCTGTAATTACACACTGTTGACCTTTCCCTACAACCCGTATCCCACTTCAATTACATTACAACATGAACACAATAAGTACATTGCACTTATTTTTTATTTAAGTACATAGAAGTTAAAGACACCACTACTGACCACCATGAGTAGTGGTGTCTTTAACTTCTATGTACTTAAATAAAAAATAAGTGCAATGTACTTATTGTGTTCATGTTGTAATGTAATTGAGGTGGGATACGGGTTTAGGACGGGTTGTCATTAGTGGTTGTCAATTTTCATTTATTTATTTGGTCACTCTATGTCAAGACAAGCTCTGAAGAAAAATCCTGTTGTTTAAAAACATTGAAGGTCAGAAGTTTTCAGTTAGACAGACAGACAGACAGTTGCTTGTCAACTATATTTTTTCTACATTCCTACAGTAATTAACTAGAATGCTGCTTCTGATACCCTGAAAGAATATATTTTATATCCACACAGGTTGGAGTTTTGCATAATTTTGCATCTCTTAGAATTACCTTAATAAAATGTAAAAATGACCTTGAAGATCTATTATTAAAACGTTTCTATTTCGTAGTGCTGAGAATATCACATGGATTATATATATATATAAAAAAAAAAATCAAATTCCTTTAAGAAACCACTGAACATATGTCAGAATAGCTTAAATACACGTTAAGTACAGCACTTAATCAGTGTGTAGTGGCATCCATAACACAAACTCACCAGGAAAAACATTATTTCCCTTTTACAATAATGAAATGCATAAACTGAAAACAGATTTTTCTCTCAAATTGAAATTATTGCAGTGTTGATGCACAGATTATATAGGGATTATGCAGTGAACATTATAGGGATGCACCGATATGCAAATTCTGAGCTCAATATTTCATTGTTTGTTGTGGTCAATATAGATAATTAATAGCTATAAAATAACTCTACCAGAAACTACAACTGGTTTGAATGAGAAATCATGGCAAAACTTGTACTGTATTATATAAGCATTTATAAAATGGATCGTTCCATTCCTTGACGCTGATTGGTCAATAGCTGTGTTTTATTTATGATAAAGCATGGCTATGACCGATTCACCGGTCTGTATCACTGTGCGTAACTCTGCTCAACACCCTTAGCTACATAATCAATATACTCTCAAAACATGTATTATGTATTTAAGCAAAAGTAACAGTTTATTATTTATTTAATGAAGTATGAGTGACCTCTGTCTGCGTCATTCACCTTTAATTTTAAGGCCATTACCCGTCAAAGAAAGTCTTCTCATAGCGGGAGATACTTTGATGTGTGTGTCCGTGTTTAAGCCTGCAGTTTCCAAAGTGGAATATTCCAGAGGGAAATCTATTTAAAACTTCCATAGTTCAAGCCTTGCTTATCAGAATTGAAATCAGTTTGCATTATTGAATCATTATTTCCCTGTTTATCACTGTAAAGCTGCTTTGAAACAATCTGTATTGTATAAAGGCTATATAAATAAAGGTGACTTGATTTGACTTATGCGCAAGGTCTAGAAACATGTTTTTAAAAGTTGAACTTATTTCGTCTTGAGCGCAGAAAACGTCGCTCTAGCATGTTTTCTAGCGTTTACATTGAAAAAACAATAGAAATGTAGCACAGTGGAATGGAAAACCGAGTTCTGTATGTAGATCTTTTCTGTCGCACTGCAAAAAAAAAAACTGGCCAAACAATAAGATTCATACTTTTGGTCATGTGCCCGGAGCCACTGCTGTCATAAAACTGACTAGGTGGCACTCACACACTATTTTGCCAAGCAACAGTGAACAGCAGAGAAAGGATCTGGAACAGGCTCTCGTGTCTCCGTACACTGTTTGTTGGCATCTATCGGCGTGTCTACATTAGACATGAGCGATGCGACGACAGAACCCATTATAATCAGTGATGCTGTCTACACTGCTGTCTACACTGGATGCGTTGTTTCAAGGTGGAGTAAGTGACAGTCTACACTTGGATGAAAGATTACAAAAGACAAACTTTTTTTTTCATGCACTGGTAAATTATTCACAATAACACCAGGAGTGTGTACCAAGAGAGTGAATAGAGAGCATTTTGAAGGTTGACTTTAAACAAGTTGTTACAAGTTGAAAGTTGTTACCTGCAATAGAGTCTTCGCAAAAAGAGCCACGGAGGGATGGAAATGAAGGGAGAGCTGAAAAAGAGAGCATGACGTCAGAGCACAAATCACAGTAATAATGAGAAGAATAGAAAAACAGTGTTAGTCTTGGTACCTTCTGCAGTTCCCAGAGGGCCGTGTGATCGGCCCCGCAGTACAAAGGGTTTCTGTTCATGGGGTCATATATCTCCTTTTTTACACCACCTGAGGACATGAGGGGTTTGAAATAAAGAAAAAGGCTCATAAGAGAACAGTGGCATGTGGAGACAAATTGACAAAATTCATTTTTAATGGAAGACACTGCATGAGGGTAAATATGATACTCGCATTTGCTGATTTTACTCGTTTTATTCTCAATAGTGACATTCTAATGTCAAAAACTCGAAACGTGGCTTAAAGGTGCAGTATGTAATATTGACAGCTAGCGGTTGAAATGGGTTATCCCCCGTATCCTCCTCTTCAGACTCGATGCTCACACAGGTTGCCAGATTGAGGACACGCAACAGGAGTGAGCGCAATTGACAATGGAAGCAATAAGCTGACGAGTTGATTTATTGTTGTTTTAATACATAGAGCTTTTTAGATCGATCCCAAGGTTTTTTAGGTCAGGTAGAATCTGCGATCTCTTACCCAGTTGTAATTTTCTGGCTTCCATGGCTGCAATAAGCTGTGATTTACGCCAACTGGCAACACAGGGTGTCGAAATACTATTGGGTAAATTGGCAGTGGGCGGAGTCACACAGACCAAAACGAAGACAAACATTCCGACAGGGAAACGCAAATTGAGGTCCCCATGAGGAAACAAGATTATAAATCATACAGAAAGAGTTTTTTCTTTTTGTAGAAAATGTAAAAATGCAGAAAGTTTTCTGTGATGGATAGGTTTAGTGTAAATGGATATAATATAGAGTTTGTACAGTATAAAAACCATTATGTCTATGGAGAGTCCCCACAAAGATAGCCAACCAGATGTGTGTGTGTGTGTGTGCGTGTGAGAAGATATCTAGAGGAGATTCCCGGTCGCTAAAACGTTGGTGACATTCAACCTTATGTAAACGAACACGCATGCAAACACAATGGTCAATATTAGTCAAATGTCATATCCATATACTGTACAAGTCGATAAAGTATTTATTGTGACAGGCCAACCCTCTACAATGCGAAACAAGTTTCACGCTAGGTGACTAAAAGTCTTTGATTAGCCAATGGCTAGTAAATTGTAACATTTCACTCGCCTGTGATTAAGTTAAAAAATAAAAGATCTAAATGCAGGGCTCGACAATAAGGACCGTCTGATGGCAGAACTGTCACTTTCTGTACCTAATCTGTATCGAAATATCTGAAAAGCACTGTTTATTTAATTTGTATCTTTGTTCTATTGCGTTTATTTGTGCTATTGCTTGTGGTTTAATTATTTGTTCTTAATTTATTACACACTGTTTACTTGTCTTTAATAATGTTATTTCATATTACATTTACATAGAATTTTCATTTGCATTGTACTTGTATTACATGTAAAAAGTCCGGCGAGTAAAATAAAACAAATGTTCTTAGCCAATGGCGACTCGAGCTTCAGTGTGTCCGTCAAGAGTTACAGGCCTATGGATGAGGCTCACCTTCCAAATTTTGATGATGTACCCATGATGCAGTGGGCTTCATCTGGCATTGTTTTGCGCTTTGTTTTTGTACGTCCCTGTCGGGATCCACGGGTCCCTCCTCATCATCGCTATCCTCTTCGAGATCCTGATACACCTCTTCCTCGTCATCCTGCAGAAAGACCTTTTTATTACAGACAACTCTGTGATGGGTTCATGTTTATGCTATACCTCAAGCAGTGATGAAATAGAACAATTCCAAGAGCGATTCACCGACACCAAGGCTATAATGTTATTGTTCTTCAAGGCACACATGTATTTAAGCTGACCGTCATACTTTCTCCAGTGGTACAGCGGGTAATACACCAGAGGTGGGATCTCCTCATATAATAAGAAACTCTCTGAGCAAACACTACACTGTAGATGGTGAGGGTGTGTGTGTAGACTTACCCCCTCGTCCAGTAGCAGTAACTTGAGGCCTGGCTTGTCCTTCATCACCTCTGACACAAGGAATAGCGCACCACATATAAAGGCAGGGGTCTCCCCACAGCTGACTTGAAGTAACCTTTTCACAAAAGCCTTCACCCGTCTGATCACTATATCAGCTTTTACAGACTTATACAAGAGGTTGAGAAACATACTCTTTTTTGAGCATGACAATAATCCTGGGTCCAGCAACTTCCTGTGGAGAGCAAACAAATGGAGACATGAACCATAATGCTCTATGTGCCAATTTACCAATGACAAGTGGTATATATACACAGTATAACAGGGTTTCTGCAGTGTTTCTAAAATCAAATTTAAGGCTTTATAACTTTTGAATACCTGGCCAAAAATAATACCATGTGTCCATAGCAAACTCCTACAACATCAACAAATAATGAATCTCATATTCTTTCACTTAAACAGGCTGCAGCTCACATTCAACAGCAAAAGAGGGTAACTGCAAGTTTAAAATACTCAAGACATGTTTATTCAATATATTAATTTGTATAGAAGCACTGTGCACTAATACATAAATGAATATATCACCAAATTGGAGGTTCAGCGGATATTGGATTTTGCTTATACAATAAAAGTGTGTTTAAAGAAAGGCAATAAAAAGATTGGTGCCGAGCCAATACTAGTAAAATACATATTTTGCATACTGTAATGATCAATGCTACGGTGTTGGTTTTTCACTCAAAAATGCTAACAGTTTATGCAGACTAAATGATTGGAAAAGTGTTTCTCAAATCTTGTTCACTTTTAGTTAGATAGTCTGCATTGACAATATGTGCAGTTCCTTCTCTTTTTTTAAATATGATATGTCACTTATGTAAAGAAGCAATTTTTCTTCCAAAAAAGCTCAGATTAATTCAGACTTGGACTAACAAACTGTTTATATAGACTAATTTTATGGAACGTTTTTGGAGCTTACCAGTTACAATTCACCATCCTTTTAACCCCATTTGTCAAAGATGGAAAAGCCGCATGGGGTTAGGGATTAAAAGATTAAATTACATATAAATTAGATGATGTTTGTTAATCGGACAAATATTCCTCTTCCATCGCTTCTGCAAAGCAGTTTCATCTTGTATTTATTTTGAAATATTGTTAGCCAAATTTGTATATTTAAATGTTTTGTTCTGCATTACTTTGCAACACAATGTAGATATGTCAGAAGTTCAGAATTAAGTCCTGCCACTTCAATACTACAATAAGAATCATTATATATCAGTGTTGTCTTTCTGCAGTACCAACTCCATTTGGAGACTTTACATTCCCCTGTAAGAGTGTTTCCCTTACAAATCTTACAAAGGGATCTTTTATGCTGTTTGAAATGCAGTACATGTTATATACACACACAACTGACTGATCGACAGGTGGCTGCGTATGTGCACACGCTCGCTCTCTAAAGAGCACTCATTGCATGAAGCTGTGTGAGCAGTGATCAATAGCCTAGTGCACTCAATAACGTCCACTGTTGATTGGGACACCACTACAAATGGCCATCCCCTCAAATAATGCCCTATTTAAGGGTATAGGGGGCAATTTCGGATTCAGCCAAGGTTTAAATTCAGTGCACCTACTGACTCGTTCAACATTTTAGTCATTCATCAGAAAAACAAAGAGCATTGGCTCACCTGTAGAGTGCTACATAATAGCGATCTGAAATGGACTGCTGGGAGTTCATGACCTGAAAGAGCAGCATGAGGGCTTGCACAGCCGTGTTAAATCTGACGATGTGGACCACTTTAAAAAGCGTGTCCAGCTGCTTGCACACATTCTCATCCCCACTCTTCGCGTACGGATACGCTCGGTTCACTCCGGTTAGCAGAGCGCTGAGCATTTTAGACTCTATATCCTTCTTCTTGACACACGCATTGAAGAACGTGAAGTAGATGGTGATGAGTCTGGCAGCGAGGTCCGCTTCCTCGTGACTCAGGATGACCTGGTTCAGGAAGCACGCGGCGTAGTACTGAGCCTTCGAGCTGATGTTGGACCTGAACATGAGGCGCTCGACCTCACAGCACACCACCGTCTTCATGTTGGGGTGTTTGTGAATCACGGTTTCCAGCAGGTGCGAGGCTTTGCAGGCGATTTTGTATTCAGGATCACCCAGTTTGTTGACGACCTGCACCAGAAGCGCTTTCTCCTGCTCCGGCTGGTTGCACAGCAGCTCGTAGGCAGTGGCAAGCGATCGCATTTTGGCGGTCTGGACCGTATCGTGAGCCATTGCGTCCAGTGCGACGACAAACTCTGCTACCTGAAACTTTAGCTGGTGCTCAAAGTACCAGAGGATGAGCCTGCGGTCCCGGGCGTCCCTGTTCCCACTGGCTTTTTCCTCCAACTGATCAAAAGGATGCTGGGAGAAAGTCCAAAGTTTGCGGTTATTCGGTAGAAGGTCGCTGAGAAGCAGCTCTTTGAGAGTATCCAAAGCCATAAGGCCTTGTCTGCGACTCCCTTTCTTTTTCACCTGGGACACAAGGCTCTCGATGTGCTGGAGACCGTGAACCGGAGCATCCTGAATTAACACGGTCATCGCCGCCATCCTGTCGGTCAGAGTCCCCGTGGACACCACGCTCTTCATCCAGGTGGAGTTGGCACCTTTCTGGAAGTTCTTCTTGGTTTTGTAGAGGACAGTTTCATTCTCGTAGAGTTTCTGAGCCAAAGCCTTGTACTGAGCAACCAGAGACTCATTCTGAGGTGCAGACGTGCTCTCGGAGGCGTACTCCATGTCAAACCACTTACCCCCGGGTTTGAGAAGAAGAGTCTGCCGTGGGTAAAACTCAAACACGTTTGCGCTCTTTTGTTTTTGCTTTTTTTGCTTTTTTTCAAGTTGTGTAGATTTTACAGGGGGTTGTTTGAGCTCCTCTGTCGAGGGTTTAATGGCATTTTTCACAACGGGCTTCGAATCCTCTTTCAATTTGGAGCTTTTTGCCTTTTTCCCCTCTTTTTTGCTTGGCTCTGAGGATTTTTCATCCTGTCCATCTGGAATGATTTGTTGCCCTGCATAAGCACGAATTCCCAGCTTTGTAATGAATTCTTCCAGCTCTCCCTTCTCCAGATCATCAATTGCGTTTTTCTTTCCACCATTGAGGAGCTCGTTCGAGTCGCTGACGTTGGCCAGCATGACATAATCGGCCTGTGATGACACAACAACATGATTTATCAGACAAACATCACACCATATTCTTGATTACTTGTGGGAAATTAGGGGTCGAGAGAAAAAAAATACAGTAGTCAACATTTGAAGTGGATCAAAACAGTTGTCCTAAGACAAGAACGTGTCCATCCATCCATCTTCTTCCGCTTATCCGGGGCCGGGTCGCGGGGGCAGCAGTCTGAGCAGAGATGCCCAGACTTCCCTCTCCCTGGACACTTCCTCCAGCTCTTCCGGGGGGACACCGAGGCGTTCCCAGGCCAGCCGGGAGACATAGTCTCTCCAGCGTGTCCTAGGTCTTCCCCGGGGTCTCCTCCCAGTGGGACTTGCCCGGAACACCTCCCCGGGAAGGCGACCAGGAGGCATCCGGAACAGATGCCCGAGCCACCTCAGCTGACCCCTCTCGATGTGGAGGAGCAGCGGCTCTACTCTGAGCTCCTCCCGAGTGACCGAGCTTCTCACCCTATCTCTAAGGGATCGCCCAGCCACCCTGCGGAGAAAGCTCATTTCGGCCGCCTGTATCCGGGATCTTGTCCTTTCGGTCATGACCCAAAGCTCATGACCATAGGTGAGAGTAGGAACGTAGATTGACCGGTAAATCGAGAGCTTTGCCTTACGGCTCAGCTCCTTCTTCTTCACCACAACAGACCGGTACATCGACCGCATTACTGCAGAAGCTGCAACGATCCGTCTGTCAATCTCCCGTTCCATCCTTCCCTCACTCGTGAACAAAACCCCAAGATACTTAAACTCCTCCACTTGAGGAAGGATCTCTCCACCAACCTGAAGTGAGCAAGCCACCCTTTTCCGACTGAGGACCACCAAGAACGTGGACCACCAAGACCACCAAGAACGACAAGAACGTGTATTGTTCAAAATTCATGTAACTTTAATGAAAGGTTTTGATCCACTTCAAATGTTGACTACTGTATATGTAACTGAAAAACAGAATTTCAATGCAGTTGAAAAAGAAACGAGCGAGTAAATATCATAACTCCTGCTTTAATCAGTCTAGCCAGACAAATATACGTGTACATCTGTACATCTAGAAAATGCACATGTACATCTTAGTATGAATGAGGGTTCTACTTACATTTATATGCTTCTAGCTGCTGCTCTAAGAAGTAACATTAACAATTCTTTTAGGTTTAATTATGAATATTTATAGCAGACTGTTTTATAATTAATTTTTATAGTTTTATTGTTACATTTATTTCTACTTTTAAGGTTGTTATTAACAAACAACTGGTCAATTTGCTTGGTTTTAACTATTTTCTCATTTTGTTATCACTGAAAGCATGTTCAGCTGATTAAAGGCACTTTTTGCTTTCTACTCTCATGATATCTAGGTTGTTCAATCTCGTTCAAATTATTTCTGGCCTTCATAAAGATCAATTGTAATAAATAGTTACGCTCTATGTCTTAATTATTATCTTTCATCTTATAAAGAAAAAGAAAGATTGAGTTTACAAAAGAAAATGGTGAGAATCATTCAGAACAAAATAGCCTAGCTTACTTGCCATATTATACCCAAGACTAATTCAGTCCTGAATTATCAATGACATCCATGTCAGATTGCCTATTAGTTTGGCATTTATACAATTACTGGAACAGTTATTTTATTCTGACAAATTGCATGTCCAAGTCATTTTGGGTCGCTTTACAAAACAATTTATTGAGAAGAATAGTTCATAAGAAAGTTAGTTTTATCATTAGTATGCAACTTTTATCTGTTCTAAGACAAAAACAAATGACGTTACATAAGAAATATATAAAACATGTTCATGTGAAGACACACATATAAAAGACCTGAGTTCAGTTTATGTTCCAGTAATTGTATAAATGCCAAACTAATGGCATTTATACAAGATTGCCATACAAGATTGCCATTTATACAAGTTTACTTTTGTCATATCTGTCAGATAAAAAAAAAACTATATGGAATTTTGAAATATTAAATATAAAAAAGTGGCTGCAACGTCACATGCCTTCAGTTGAAGAAACTTCCACTTAGAATTTCAGGAATATAAAAAATACATTCGCAGTTTGTCCCTTCAGTGTAAACATGTTTTAATCTTTCATAGAGGAATGGCACGTGTGTTGGAGACAAGCTAAAACCTCACCTTTGTCCCGCCCAAACGCAACACATCCTCCAGTGAGAACTCTTCTTCATTATTGTCATCCTCGATGGGATCGCAGTCTTCATTCTCACACTCCTGATCGTTATTCGTGCCCATGCTGTTGTTGCCCTCCTGGTCGTGTTCCTCCATGGTGATCTCTGGCGCACGTTTCCGCGTGGACTCACAGCAACACGTGTGCGCTCACGATTCACAAGAAAAGTCCCTCAAAAATCAAAATAAAAGCCTCTACTGGACTGGTGCTGCTGCTTCGCTGGGTTTTACTGGCCGTTGCAGACGAGCTGGATACTGCCACCTACTGTACCTACTGTACTGGAGTGTGGAGAGAATCGAGTCTGAATGGCATAATTTCTGTTTCTAATATTATATATATATATAGTTCTTTGTGTCTGGTGTCTGGATTATTATTTAAGATGCTAAATATTGTAAATGCCTGATATCCCGAGGTTTGTATTTCTTTCCTAAATTCAATAGGACATAGCCTATGTTCTATAGTTTTTGCTTTGTGACAGTCATCATAAACCTGTAGGCTATTATACTTCATCAAGATGTGTAATGTAGCATTAGTCTTAAACATTGTGAAAGTGTAAAAATAATCTCTGCTGATGTTATGTGTGACTTTTACTTATATGTTCCTTTTCTATTAAGAATACCATGTCTGGTATTTTTGGCACTTGTTATTTATTACAAGCTTCTAGAAGGAATCAATATTTTATTATTAAAATATTATTGTGGTAACACAATACGGGTGCACTAATATGCATTAATTCATACTTAACTAATGCACAGATAATCATGAGTTAATGTAGCCTATGACTCATGAAGAACTAAACCATTAATTAATGATTACTGCATCAGAAACTAATAAAGAGTCTATGATTAATTAAGTAATACATGAATTGCTATTAATTAAACGTATCATCATGTATTAATTCCTTAATAACATATTTTATTAACTAATAGTGTAAATGAATGTGTTAATTACCACAATTAGTCAACGCTATGCACTTCAACTTCCAGTTGTCTGCTTTAATTAACTATTAGCTAATGATTTGCAAAGGTATCATTATGTTATGACTTTACTTGTTAAGGAACATGACTATTAACTAATTGTTAATTATTGTTATTAATATATGGACAGATAGTTGCCCCTGCCATCCAGTTTTAGGGCCCCCAATTTAGACATCAGTGTAAACCTGAATAAATTAAATGAGTCGTTCTGATCTATTCCACTGCATAGTGCCCTATTATTACTTCCTATTTTACAAATTGTATTACTATATTTGAGTAGCCAGTACTGTTTTCCCCCCATCTTTTCCCCCCTTCTTTTTAATTTTTAAAAAATATATTTTGTAACTTTTGACAGAAAAATTCAGCAGTTGCAGACAGAGGTTTTAATTTACAAGGGGTTTGCTTGCTTCAGGCCTTATTAACACCTGGAATAACTAAAAATTGATGTCCACAAAAAAAAAAAAAGTGTTCACTTGAGGTGCACTGTTGGACCTTACCATTTTTTTTTTACAGTAAAATACTGGCAACACTGTTGCCAGCAATTAACAGTTAATTGTACAGTTCTTTACTGTAATCTACAGTATGTTACTGTAAAAATGCACTAAAACTCGAGTTAACTAATTTCACTTGCAGAAACCGGCTGCCTTTGTCACGATCCACACACGGGAAACAGAGAGATCCAATTGCAAGTAAGAATTTATTGGGGAAATCCGTAATTGTACATCCAGTCCAGGCAGGGGTCATAAATCCATATACACGATCCAAAAACATAAAACAATAAACAAATGATCACAAAGCAGAAACAGACCTCAGATGTGGTGTGAAAAATAACAAGGACTCCGTCACAAACACTAAACAGGCAGGGTATTTATACACAGAACAAGACAATCATGATGGGGAACAGCTGAGTGCAATGAACAGTGATGAGCGCAGACAAGGATTGTGGGGAATGCATTTCCAAAAGTGAATGACACCGTGGGGAAGGAGGACCTCTAGTGGACACCAGGGAACATAAACCAGACACTGTGACATGACCCCCCCTCTACGGAGCGGCTACCAGACGCTCCAAGACAACTAACACACAACACAAGAGTTCAGGAGGGAGGTGGAATGGCGGAGGATCAGGGGGAGGGATGGTGGGCCAGGTCCATGCAGGGGAACAAAAACGGGAAATAACGACTTAGCCGGCGACCCGGGCGAAGCAGACGGTCCATCGGGCGGCCAGGGCGGTGAAGACCCCTCGGGCGGCCAGGGCGGTGAAGACCCCTTGGGCGGCCAGGGCGGAGACGACCCCTCGGGCGGCCAGGGCGGAGACGACCACGGCACAGGAACAGCAACCGGCTCAGGATTTGACCAACTGTCATTTAAATGTATTAACTGAAATGTATAATGCATTAATAACCTGAGCAAAGTATTACTGTGAACTTATTTCATTTGAAACGACAAAAAAACTTTTGTAAATAAAAGAGATTTCCACTGGAACAGCAACTACACAGTCACTGTCTGTTAAATAAAGCAACACACAACATATCATCAATGTTTGTAGATTTTCTCGTGGACTGAAGCACAGGCTCTACTCTTCAGCACAATGGTGACCCAAAAAACAAGATTTTACAGTAAACTACTGGCAACAGTGTTGCCAGTATAAACCTGTTTTATAACTTACAGTTTATTGCTGTTAAAATACATTTTGTGGGTGTGTCTTTTTATGTTAACCCTTTCAACCCCACAGGAAAATCCACACTACAAAGAGTAAAAAGTAAAATCAATGCGAAAATGCAAATATAACCCAGAATGCATTGTTTTCTACGGTATATTACTGTTTTAATGGAAAATGGTATGATACTGTCACTTTTTTTACTGCAAGGGTTAACAGTGTAGGGTCTTAAAATTCTAGCACACCACATGTAGCCACTTACTCGTATGGCTACTTGGCAAATGTAACTTTTTAGGTATTTACAGCACCACTGGTCACTATATGATAAAAGTGTGAAAATTAATTGTAATTAGAAGTTTATATTAGTTGAAGTTTGCTCTGTGTGGATGATTTCTTTCTGTTCCAGTGATGTTCTGTGACTCAACCTTGAAGGGAAAAGATATCGCTTATTGGGGTCAAAGCCTGTTCCCCAATGGCATCTGGTGAAGCAAGCAAAAAGGCTTCTGATTCGTTCAAGGCATATGTACCCCTCGGGTCCAAACATGTTCTCTCCAAGGTGGTAGGGCCCAGCGATCCATTTCGCCACTCTGCATACCTTGTTTATTCGTGTAGCCTGCATTTAGACAATAAATATGCACCCGCTTTGGAATTTATCCATTGGGTTATCATGAAATCAAACTAATCAAGAGTTCTAGACTTTGATGCCTTCTTATTTATTTTCATTTTTCTGTTCTCATGATTCCTGTATGAGATTTTTATAAACAACTATGCCCAGGGCCTTGAAGTTCTATCACACCACATGTAGCCACTTACATGTATGCGTACTTGGCAAATGTAACTTTTTAGGTATTTACAGCACCACTGGTCACTATATGATAAAAGTGTGAAAATTAATCGTAATTAGACGTTTCTATAAGTAGAAGTTTGTATTAGTTCAAGTTTGCTCTGTCTGAAAATAAATCATAAGTAGAAGTTTATTTTAATTCAAGTTTGCTCTATGTTGATGAATTGTTCTGTTCCAGTGATGTTCTGTGACTCAACCTTGAAGGGAAACGGTATCACCTCTTAGGGTCAAAGCCTGTTCCCCAATGGCATCTGGTGAAGGAAGCAAAAGCAAGCAAAAACAAGTTCGCTCCAAGGTGGTAGGGCCCAGCGATATATTTCGCCACTTTGCGTACCTTGATGTAAGTGCTATTTTTAGAAGTTTATATTAGTTCAAGTTTGCTCTGTGTGAAAATAAATCATAAGTAGAAGTTTCTATTAGTTGAAGTTTGCTCTGCGTGGATGAATTTTTCTGTTCCACTGATGTTCTGTGACTCAACCTTGAAGGGAAAGGATATCGGCTATTGGTGTCAAAGCCTGTTCCCCAATGGCATCTGCTGAAGCCTTAGCAAGCAAAAGCCTCCTGACCCGCTCAAGGCAATATGTACCCTTCGGCTCCCTGCAAGTTCTTTCCAAGGTGGTAGGGACCAGAGATCCATTTTATAGACAACTATGCCCAGGGTCTTGAAGTTCTATCACACCACATGTAGCCACTTACTCGTATGCCTACTTGGCAAATGTCTCTTTTTACGTTTTTACAGCACCACTGGTCACCATATGATATAAGTGTGAAAATTAATCGTAATTAGACGTTTATATTAGTTCAAGTTTGCTCTGTGTGGATGAATTGTTCTGTTCCTGTGATGCTCTGTGACTCAACCTTGAAGGAAAAGGATATCGCCTTTTGGTTTCAATGCCTTTTCCCCAATGGCATCTGCTGAAGCCTTAGCAAGCAAAAGCCTCCTGACACGCTCAAGGCATATGTACCCCTCGGGTCCCAGCAAGTTCTCTCCAAGATGGTAGGGTCCAGCAATCCATTTCGCCACTTTGCGTACCTTGATGAAAGTGTCACTATATGATGAAAGTGTGAAAATGAATCATAAGTAGAAGTTTCTATTAGTTCAAGTTTGCTCTGCGTGGATGAATTTTTTTGTTCCACTGATGTTCTGTGACTCAACCTTGAAGGGAAAGGATATCGCCTATTGGTGTCAAAGCCTGTTCCCCAATGGCATCTGCTGAAGCCATAGCAAGCTAAAGCCTCCTGACATGCTCAAGGCATACCCCTCGGCTCCCAGAAAGTTCTCTCCAAGGTGGTAGGGCCCAGCGATCCATTTTATAGAGAACTATACCTAGGTTCTTGAAGTATGCCTACTTGGCAAATGTAACTTTTTAGGTATTTACAGCACCAATGGTCACAATATGATAAAAGTGTGAAAATTAATCATGAGTAGAAGTTTATATTACTTCAAGTTTGCTCTGTGTGGATACATTTTTTCTGTTCCAGTGATGTTCTGTGACTCAACCTTGAAGGGAAAAGATATCGCCTATTGGGGTCAAAGCCTGTTTCCCAATGGCATCTGGTGAAGCAAGCAAAAGCCTCCTGACCCTTTCAAGGCATATGTACCTCTTGGGTCCCAGCAAGTTCTCTCCAAGGTGGTAGGGCCCAGCGATCCATTTCGCCACT